TTCAAAATTGACCTAATCATAGCTCTATTTATAATATAGCAAGAAGTATTTATGACTTTCACCCAAAAATATCTAGGTAAATTATTTTCACAAAGCATGGTTCTAGCCATTTCTTCTAAAGTTCTATTTCTCCTTTCGACTACCCCATTTTGTTGAGGAGTTCTATGAGCAAAAAAATTATAGCTAATACCATTTTCACTACAAAATACATTAAAGCCTATATTTTCAAATTCCTTTACATGATCACTTCTAATACTAGTAATTGAATAACCTTTTTCATTTTGTATTTGTTTGCTAAAAGTGATGAATTTTTCCAAGGCCTCATTTTTTGAATGCAAAAAGAGAACCCATGTGAATCTAGTAAAATCATCAACAATAACAAACCCATATTGTTTTCCACCAAGACTCATTGTTCTAGTAGGGCCAAAAAGATCAATATGCAATAGTTGAAGAGGTCTAGTAGTTGAAATGCAATTCTTAGGTTTGAAAGAAATTCTTCTATGTTTTTCTTGAGCACATGCATCACAAACCTTGTCATTTTTTATTTCAACTTTGGCAAACCAACAACCAAATTTATTTTGAGAAAGTTTTGAAATTATATGCATACTTGCATGTCCAAGCCTTCTATGCCAAATCCAACTCTCATTTTCTTTTTGAGCCATAAAGCAAACATTTTTAGAGGATAGGTCATCTAGATGCACTACATAAATGTTTCCTTGACGATGTCCAACAAAAACAAGCTTGTTAGTTTTTTATATCAATTACTTGACAACACATGGATTCCAACACAACCCTAAATCCTTTATCACATAATTGATTAATGTTAAGTAAATTATGCTTAAAACCTTTCACAAGTAAAACATTTTCAATAGAAATAGAAGAATTGTTACCAATGGAGCCAATCCCTTCAATTTGGCCTTTTGAGTTGTCACCAAATGTAACATCTCCTCCACTTTTCGCTTTCAAGTCCTTAAAGAGAGTTTTATCTCCGATGATGTGTTTTGAGCATCCACTATCAAGGTACCATTGATTGTTCTTGCTTGAATTGGCTTTGTAGCAATGTTCATCCACCTACAAAAACATAATTAAAATTTTCTTTTAGGTACCCAAATTTTCTTGGGTCCTTGAGAGTTAGTACTAACAATTTTTGTGCCTTTTGGAATCCACTTCATTTTAGTAGCCTCATCTTGAGATGAGCTAACTCCTTTTGAGATCCACACTCTTCTAATGAGCTTACATTTATAAGTGATTTTCTTTAAGGAATAATATTGTATACAATGACCCAATTTATGACAATGTACACACATACTAGATGAATCATTTGGCTTAACAAGGAAATTCTTCAAGTGAGTCTCTTTGTTCCCACCATTATAACCTAGTCCATCTTTATCAAAGAAAGCTCTTTGTGTTTCTAGCATATCATTGAGCTTTTGATGACCCATATAAAATCTAGAAAATGAATTATGTAGATTTTCATTTTTTTTAGTCAAGTCATTGACATTTACCTTTAAGAGCTCAACTTTCTTTTCTAAGTCTTCTTTTGCTTTAGTCAATGACTCATTTTTTAGTTTCAATTTAGTGACCATTTTCCTATATTTCATGCTCATGTTCTCAAATTCTATAGCTAATTCATCATAGGCATCTTGTAGTTCATCAAATGAGTATGAATTTAAATCACATAGATTAGAGGTTACCTTGGGCTCATCAAGAGCTATGAGACATAGGTTGGCTACTTTCCCCTCATTTGATTCATCATCGAAGAAGTCGCTATCACTCCATGTTGCTACCATAGCTTTCTTTTTTGGCTTGGTCATGTTTTGCTTTTTTCACAAAGGACAATCAAGTTTAATGTGACCCAGTTTGTTGCATTCATAGCAAATAATTTGATCCATTTCTCTTTTACGTGATTCCCCTTTAGTCATCTCCCTTTGTAGTCTTCTCCTACATGGGAACTTGTTCATTCTCATAAACTTCTTGAATATCTTTGCAAACATGGTCATCTCTTCATCTTTATCATCCTCCTCTTGAGCAAAATTTTCTTCATCGTCTTGAAAGGTAGATTTGAGAGCAATGCCACCTTTCTTGACTGGTTCTTATCCCCTTTTGATCTTCATTTCATAAGTGAGGAGAGAGCCCATTAGTTCATCCAAAGAAAGTGTGTGAGGATTTTGGACTTTTCAATGGCTATCACTTTGGCTTCCCAACTCTTTGGTAGACTATTGAGAATTTTTTTCACCATCTCCACATTTAAATATGTCCTTCAAGAGCCTTTAAACCATTAATGATGTCGGTGAAGCGGTTTGACATCTCACTAATGGTTTCATCAGGTTTCATCTTGAACAGCTTATAATCATAAGTAAGCATGCTTATTTTTGTCTCCTTCACTTGGTTACCTTCATGGGTGACAACCAGCTTACTCAAATTTTTTATATTTTCACACAAGAAAACTCTATTATACTCACTTGGTCCAATGCATAAAAGAGTGTGTGCATTGCTTTGGCATTAAGTTGAGCCATCTTCATGTCATTGACATCCATTCACTCTCTAGCTTTATCACTTTCTTACTATCCACCATCTTCATTGGAATTTGAGGACCATTTACAATGACCCTCCAGACTTCATAATCATTAGCTTGAATGAACAACCTCATCCTAGTCTTTCAATAGGAGTAGTTATCACCAGTAAAGAGAGAGGTTCTAACAATTGAATGCCTTTCACTTCCAAAAGATGTTGCAACTATTTCATTTGCTATGAGACACACTTCTTGTTGGCTGGTATAGTTGTTGTAGCTTGAGGATGGTTCTTCCACATTGATTATCAAATTTTTTAAGCCATTTTCAAGATCACTCTTGGGCTATTAAACCTACAAAAAATAGTATTAGCTCTGATACCAATTGTTAGCTCAAAGACTTGGAATAAACCAAGAGGTGGGTGAATTAGTTTTAATAAAATTTTCAAAGATAATATTCAATAACCACAAATTATCAAAACAAATAAGCACAATAGATGAATATAAACAATAGATGAATATAAACAAGAGATAGGGTTAGAGAATTTAACACCAAAATTTATAGAGGTTCGATCCTTTCTTAGGCACCTACATCCTCTCCTTTAGCCTCTCTTGCTAAGGAGTTCAATCCACTATTAGATGAAGATTACAACTAAGCTTTCACAAAGCTTTACAAACTCAACAACATACACTCTTAAAAGTTATCATCCCCCTTAAGCTTACACACTCACAATATAAAAATTTAGAATTGTTTGACAAACTTTAAGAACCTCACAAAGGTTAAGTGTTTGCTAAGTTGAAGTACACAAAAGTATAGATAAGAAAGTAGAGAAAAACTTATATGAATTTTGTACTTTTTCTCTTTTTACAGCTGTGAATGCTTGAGCAGATTGGTAGGTGAATAGCAATAAATTTTTTTTCTCTTGTTGCACTTGGTTTGCAGTGGAATGCTTGATTTATAGTTAAAAAGAAGTTGAGAGCCGTTGGAACGCATTTAATACTTCAAACCTTACAGAAATTTTAGTAAAAAAATAGCCGTTGGGAGTTTTTGACCTTCAGGAGATCGATCCCCTCCCTTAAGGATCGATTGGTTCATGTTTGAGAAGACCCGATTTTATGCCTATTTTATCTTAACCGATCGATCCATTGCTTTATGGGATTGATCTGTTCTTTAGGTGATCGATCTCCTATGTTAAGGATCGATCATTTTTCTGAGTTTCAACACTTGGGGAGCATTCTGTTTGAACAACCGATCGATCCCTTTGAGAAAGGATCGATCCCTTGATATTTATTCAAATAATCATAACTATTTGAACTAATTCAAAAAAATAACTTTAGTTTTAAATCTTTTGTTCATTAATTTTTAAAATATTAATAAAATAATATTATTTTATTTCGAATAAGTTTTTATGAAATGAAACAATTATTTTATGACAAAACAAATGTCATAACGACTTTAAATAGATAATTGTTCGAATAATCTAATATATTTGAACTTGTTTAATAAATAAATTTATATTTTTTAAATCTCCTACTCATTAATTTTTCAAATGTTAATAAATTATAATTATTTTATTCTGAATAAATTTATATGAACTTAAATAATTATTTTATAACTAAACAAAAACTCATAACGATTTGAATTAGATAATTATTATAATAATCTTAATTATTTAAACTGATGCAACAAACATTTCATCTTTTATTTTATTATAAAACAATTATTTATATTCATATAAATTAATCCCAATTGTTTATATTCATACAAATTAATCCGTCCATGGCAAGACTCAAACTACTTTAAAATAACTTAACATCACCGAATAAAGAAGATGTTGAGTTTGCATACGCCAACGCAGCGGAGATAATGATATCTTCTCGTACCTAAGCTGCTATATTGATATATAGCTCAAACAATTGGTGCTATATTTGATGAGTACAACAAACTGCGTCTTTAGTACTAAGAAAAAATTTCCTTCTAGAGTGACTTCAACCACAAATAATGCAATATTCTCGTACCATTTTCTATAATTTCATCTTCAACGAAGAAGAATAACTGTTAAATTGTGAAAAGCACCTATAGAAACACTTCAAAGTTCTTGGCAAATCAATAACCATGTAATAATCCTTCCACAACATCACAAAAAGAATGCTAACTACACAGACAATGCCATGTCATAGATAGATCTCATCTTGATATGAAATATTTTCTATAACAGTACCCTAGAATGCATGACAGCAACGACGGCCATATTATATATATATATATATATACATAGACATGTATATATATGCACAACTCTCGTTCCCCCAACCATACATGAAGTGCATTGGAATTCATATGTAAAATATTTACAAAGTTAATCCATCTAGAAGCATGTGTCCTCATCTGATTGTCATGTAGGATTATAGCTATGGCCATGAAATCCTCCCCTTCTAGAACTAGGCATCGGCTCATCTGATGAATTTCCAAAAACTGAGATTTACAGAAAAACACCACAATGCACAACTGAAGTACGTAAGCCCAAATATTCAATGGCATGATATAGAAGACACGGTTCATCAAAAGATAAACTAAAGACAGAAAAACAAACATAAGCATTGCTAATAAATACCAGACATAAATCATAATTCCAGCCAAGAAACCATTATTTGAACTTAAAATCACAATACTAATTTCTGATTTACCTGGGCAGTTAGGAATAAATCTGTAGTCAGTTTTTCATTTTCTCTAATGACAATTTGGTAGTTTTACTTAAATGCAACTAAAACCATACAGAATGAACCGAACTCTCATTCCAAAGAAAATAAAAAGGACGAATCAATCCTTATTTTATATAATTTTGACATCCTTAATAGCCTTTTATGGTAATTCATTAACCAAGTTGGTGTCACTCATCTTCTCTATATCTTAATGCTAATCTATATTAATACATATGCTAATAAAGCCCACACCCAAATATCAAGCAAAACAGAGAAACATATACCTACCAAAAACAACTCTTCAAACTCAATATCAAATTAACTCAACAAAATAAACAAAATATAATAATTTAAAAAATAAAGGTTAAAAGTGGGAAAATGAAGCAAAACCATTAGAGAACATAGCAGTGGCAAAAATAACTAATTTAAAACCAGTAATACTACATACACTAATGCCTCTTCAGCCACAAATCAGGGCAATTATAGTGTCAACAGAGGTCTGCCACCCAAAAGGAAATAAGATAAAAAAAAATGAATATATATCAAATAAAAGAAAAAGAATAAGCCAATTTTACCATGCTCTTCTTCATCCTCTCCATTCTGGCTTGTGAAGAATGGGGTGAGGTAGTTCCTATCTAATGCAGAGAATGACACTGTGCTGCAGGGTAGGAAATGATTTTAAATAAACTAAATCAAAGAAATTAGATGATTAATCCATAGATCCCTGATCATGATTGAAGGTAAGATTCAACATTATTACCTTTTCTGGAACTCTTTCAGCTTCATCTTAAACCTGTTCCCTGCTGTTCCATCTTCATTATAAGATGGAGCAACATATCCATTATTAAGCTCAAAGCTCTGCAAAAAAATTTTTTGATTAATATCACTGACACTAAAATCACTTACATTTACTTACCATTTTTTTATTAAAACAAAAAAAGTTCACAAAAAAACACAACCACCATTGTCATGGCAGCGGCAGTTTCCTACTTCAACATTTTTACTTGATTCTTATTTATTTGAACAGTTCATAAATAATTTGTCATGACCGATCAGGCTAATGAAGATGCAGCAAAGTCTCCATCTAATCTGAAAAAAATATTGAACTCCCTCTCTCACTTGTTTTCTTTAATCATTTACTTATCAGCTACAGATCACAGCTTGTAATGGTGCTTAATTGCAAAGAAGTTGCTACCTATTTCACAAGATACCATAAGATACCAAAATGAAGTTGAGATGCTTCCAAAGATGAGAAGGTCCCACAGGATTAGAGGACTTTTTCAAGCGATAGATCATTTCAGCATAGACATTTGGATTGCATTGTTAAACACAGGTAGATAGAAACAAGGTAGCATGGCAGATTACTGTGCTACCTTTTTTCAAATCATAGGGCAGTCAGCAGTTTAGTCATCGTTCCTGAATTGACTGAAAAATACATTACTTCATTTGAAAATAATATCTGGGGCTGTATTTTAATCAGATGACTTTGTTCTTTGAATAAAAGGAATTCATTCACCAAAAGTTACCTGAGAATCTATCCCTTCTACCCACCAACAGTAATATCGCAAAAAGAGGCGCCATAATCTCAAGTTCCAATATCTTACTTGACAGAGAGTCTGACAAAAAATTTTTTGAGAGCTCTTCCTAATGATGCAAGTCTTAGGTACCATGCTCATGTAACTCTTCATTTCCTTTAAACCTCCTAAAATATGACTTTCATTAAGAAAATCTAAATTCTTTCCAATGATATCAGGTTTTGTGTTGAAAACATAACTGATTGTAAGCATATAAAAAGCTATAATATATCGCTAAAGAAGATCAGAAATTGTGAAGGAAGAAAGCAACAAAAGAAAAGGATAAGGCAATAAAATTTTAAATATAACAACATGCTTAAAGTCAATAAAGCTGTGCTATGGAAAATGAATTTCACTTAATAGGATATTTATAACATTTCAATCCAAGGAAAGAAGATAAACTCAAATAATTCTGATAATGCAACAATATTACTACAAAATATATATATATATATATATATATTTTAAATACATACATACACACCACACTCAATCACTCAGACACAAAACAAAGGGAAAATTTGAGGAATTCACATTTTCTAACCATACAAAAAATTATTATAGGTGGGAGTTTATTATTGAATATTTATTTTAAAATTTAAACATTATAGTTTTAGTGGAACTTACTTCACCTAAGTGGCCATCATGGCCATCCCCCACAACTTGCAGAGCTTCTAGCATTGTACCTGTTGAACCTCCAATTAACAATACCTGTCACATTTTTATCAGTTACTGAAAAGGATAAATATCAATTGCCACATTCAGACTGCAACATGTTTGTAACTCTTGAAAAAAGTATGAAATGCAGAAGATGCAGTTATTCACGTAACATTGGACATGCCAAATTTCAGTTTAGTTTAAAACTAATTGCAACACTAGTGGTGGGAACATAACTTTTAACATGATCATGAACCACCATATATCACCAAAGCAAGCTAATGGGCCATTCAAAACACTCAAATTGCAGAATAAAACCGAACTGTCTCCATAACTACTAAGAGATGATGATGATATAAACAAAATTTATTATATTCTAATTCCAACCCTGTTTTATGGGTTATCCAGTTCATTGAATGAAGATTATAATGCAGAGGAAGAAGTTAGTGAATTTTTCAGTGAACCAATAATGCATACAGAAAGTAGCATGAATTTGACACCCAACTTTAATAGAATAAGACCGCTACTGTAGAAACCAATTATGTCAACTACTCCTGACACTAGCATAATTAGTGTCAATACTGACTTATTCAGTTCATTACGCATGCTAAATGTCAATTATCTTCTCCCCCAAATTATGGGAGGGGAAATGGACCATAGAAGTACAGAATTAATGCTTCAAGTTTTCTATACCAGGAAGCTGAACATTTCAAAAGAAATGGTATTGTAGTAACTTGTAAATAAATATTGCCTTCATATCTAAGCAATGAGCATTGAACAGATAACCAAATATATCACTTACAAAAGATAAATTTCAAAATTATTTTTCAGCATATTTCTAACAAAAGTTTTGTTAATTTAAAGATAAGATTTGTCTGCCATACCGTCAAAACAACTATGGCAGTTGTTGCAGTAAATATAATCTGGCCATGTCCTTCTGGAAGATCATGAACAGATTGCAAAGCAAGGGCAAAAGCCATTGCCCCTCGAAGTCCTAAAGTCCACAATGATTTAGTATTGTGGATGTATAAAACCAATCAGGATGAAACTAGGATTTTTCTTACCGCTATACCAAAGTGCTTTTTGGTGTTTTAAAGGTACTTGCCGATGTACAGGACGAACCAAATTGACCAGAAATGCACAAGAAAAGACATTAGCTGCCCTGAAGATTGAATAAAACAACCTCATTAATTATTCCACACAGGGTCTATCAACAACAAATAATTTAAAAATTGAAAGATTAATAAATCTTTAGGTTTAAAGCTCCATGTTATCACCATATACAGCTCATTTACCTAGCAACTCCAATAAATAACTGACATGATTATGAAGCAAGTCAAGGAATAACAATGAGACCATAATTCAATGCAGCCACCAAAACTAGGTTCACAAAAAATAAAAATAAATAAAAAAATAAAAGGATACAATTGAGAAAGAGATAAATCCCACATGCGACCAGCTGTGCTTTTCCATGGCAATATCAAAACCCATGTATATAAATCTGCAAAATTGAAGAAAATAATCAAGCTTTGGAAAGTTATGGCATGGACAAGAAGTTAAATCAGTTCATATCACACAGAGAACTCCCTTACGTAAATGTCTCAGCCAGTGATGATATTAAGTGAAAAAAAGCAGATACAAATTGCTGAGAATTTTCTGACAAATTTGAGTATGTGTAGTGCTTCATCACCTGAAACAAAAAAAGAAAAGGCTCAGCATGCTACACCAGCATGCCCATGCCATGTACTAATACTCAATCAGCATTACAAGTTCACTTACAATTCCTGTGAACAATATTGACACAATACCAGAGAGCCTGAGACCTTCCACAAGCATGTACCTAGAAAAACGATATATTTTCATAATTAACTACCCCATGAATCCATTAACTATATAAAGGTGGAAAAGAGAGAATATAAAGGGTGCATAAAATTGCTTACGAGAAATAAGGAAAAAGAACAAAAAGACAGCACTCCAAGTTTTGAAGACTGAAAACAGTAATAACAAGAGAAATTCTAGTCAGGGGTTTCCAGAAGATTTGAATTGTAAAACACTTGACAAAAGAACCAAAAGGTTCAAACCCAGTACTTACTTGTCAATATCTAATCCAGCATACTTAAAGAGGTTCTTGGAGTTAAGGTTTAAAACTACACAATAACAGCTTATAGTTTATGGTATAAAACATGGTACAAGAATATAAAAGATTGATCAGGAAGGATATTAAAGCAGAAGTAAATCCAACTCCAACACCTGAAAAATAACATGGAAAGCATCTTAGTGGTTGTGATTAAAAGGACATAAAAGTATGGAATGGGTAGAAGATCAATCAATAAGATAATAGAAAATAACTGCATTGGAAAATTGAGATTGAGGTTTTTTCTTTTCATTTTTTCCTTTTTTTGAAAAAAAAAATCTTTTTCTCATGCCTGTACCCTCCTTTTGGTTTTCTTTTTAATCAAAAAGAAAAATGATAAAATTCACCAGTACTTGGCATCTGTTGGGAAATGAAAATTTATATTAAGGTACTGCACATTTTAGTCTCTTCACTGATATAATTCAAAAATATGGCACTAGATTGAGTCAATTTTTAGAAGGTTTTAAAATATGTGGCCAGCAGCATGCTTCTTTGACAGGACACTTATTGTCTTATGCAGTGAAATTAAAACTTTTCAACTCTCTTCTGCCCATCATGCAAGTTTCCTGCAATGGAGTCCTTTCCTTTGACTAAGCAACCTATCAGAAGATTGAGGACGAGTGTAAAAGGCATTTAATGTTTCTTGCACATAAGCCTATTTTATATAAGATTTGGACTCCACATTTAAAAAAAAAAAAAAAGAAAATACAAACACACACACACACACACACACACTTTGCTTGAGTATGGTCAATTGTATGATTTAAAAAATTAAAAGGAAAAGCATTAGGGCAGAAGATATCCTCATTTCTGTAGTTGGACTTCTAACAAACTTTCGAAGACCACAATAAAAGTAGAAGTTCAAGAGGACATGGTGATAATTCTCTCTTCGCTTGCTATTGGGATCGTTGGCTCCGAGGAGACAATAATAGATTGTTCGGGAGAAATTCCAGAAAAAGTTAAAGATGTTTGCACCAATAGCAGCTTAGATACAGCCACAATGTATTTGTTTATCCTACAGATTGAATTGAAGGTATTTCAGTGATTAATGTGGCTATGAGGGATCAAATTATGTAGATAAAGTTGGTTTGGCAGTTGCATCATTCACCAACAAGGTTTTCTCTCAAGGCTGGCTCCAAAGAGCACATGGAAGGGTAAACATATACTCTACCAGAAAGCCATGACTGTTGAGTGCTAAATGCTATTTCTGACATTGGTAAAGACTGGATCCATAAAACTATACAGATATAGATAAGATTTTAACTGGATCCACTAGCTAAACAGGCATAGATAAGATTTTTACAGCACAGAAAAATTTTGCAGCAACCATCTATTGACTACCACATTTGGATGGGGACAAATGATGGTTGGCGGAAAGGAAGGAATAGCATATTGTTTCTCGTTAATTTTTTTAATGTACTTTCAAATTTGCATGGAACCTTTTAGTACTAGAATAATGAACGGGTATGTTAGTCAGTTATCACCATTAAACTAAGAATGCTTGTCAATGGGAGAAACCTAACAGCAGCTTTGGTATCCTCAATGGCGATGATCTTTTAGTTCAGCAAGAGAAGGTTCAAGGGGTATAATAGAAACTAGGCATAGAGGCTATAGGCTTCTATACGTTAGTTAAACTCCTAGTATTTATTTCCATGAGCTTACAAATTGAGGATGACTACAACCAGAGGTAAAGGAATTCAAATTTCGGTAGTTGCAACATCTTCTTTGAAAGCCTCTTCCATCTCAATATCAAGAGGAAGTTCCTTGGTGTTTAAAACCCATTTTCAAAAGGTTATATAGATGCATGCTTGTTTTGATGTTTGCATAGGGTACAAAACAGTTATAAATTTTTATGAGCACATTTATATAGTATTAATATATCGTGATTATCTTCATTCTCAAGATTATATATAAAATGATTCTGAAACAATGGTTGTACGGTCCAACAGAGAAGTTTAAACATGAAAGAAAATAGTAGTAAGACATTCTCTCACACCTTGTAAAAATCAACATATGCACTTTGATACTTGTGAAACAATTAATGATATGAATGATAACTTAAAGGGGAATAAACCAAAAATAAAGTTAGATTGCAGGATGGCAAAAAACAGACATTTACCATGTATTCACTTGCAATATGAAGCTTAGCAAAACAATTTTTCCTTTTCTTTTTACAATTAAAAACAATTATTTAGCATGCAGATTATAATATAAGAGAGATACACTAAGTTTCAGCAAGACCAAAGGTTAAGATAGACCTGCAGACATAGAACCAACAAAGGTCTCGAGAAACCTGACAATCACCATAAAAAAGTTTTGTCCAGATGAGACTTGACTTCTTACAAGGGACATTGTCCTGCATAGAGAATCAACACTTGATTTAAAACCGAACTAAGCATTCCAATCACAAAGGACAAATGCAAGTACTTAACATACCTGTACAAAGATATTGCCATCTACATGAAGAACCATTTTACCCAGTAAATATTGAGCATGCACAGTGTAAGATGTTAAAAACATGAAACAAGGGACCATTTATTAGCATTTAGCATTCTACAAAAACTTACAGCATCATTTAAGACGGATTCTCCAAAGACCAAAGCATAAAGGTTCATATCAGTGCCAAGTTCCTGCAATTAAGATCATCGCACATGGATCACATTGCTAATATGGTTACTGTTTTGACACTAGTGTTATAATTTACTGCTTAGACACTAGTATTATAACTCAAGTGATGAAATGAAAAACAAAAACTACTATGATATCTCTCTACCATTATAACTGCGACTTGACATTTTATTAAAATTAATGAAAGTTTTGTTAAGCGTTGGATTAGTAAAAAGAAACAAAAAAAACCCTTCAAAGAACCAGTAGCAGTAGAAGGTTAGAATAACAGTATGTATTTACAAAAGTTAAGCAACCAAGAAATGACAGAGCAAGATAATTAAGGGAATAAGAGTATATCTAAGCTTTTTTTTGAACATGGGTTACTAACTGAAAGTATGGTTGCTTAGCTATTATATTATTATTAATGTCCTATTTGGTTTTTGCTTTTGGTACTTTCCTTTTGCTTTTGGAAGCAAAAAAGTACAAAAGCAAAAACAAAAACAAAAAACAAAAAAGCTTAATCTGATACAAAAGAAAATACTAATATTTTTAACTAATTGAAAACTAAATTTGCAATTTTTTTGGAGAATAATAATGCATGGTTATACCTTTATAAAACAATTATGTTAGATCTAGTGTTGCATGCTAGTTATTCATTCATTCTTAATCATAATTTACTTTGCTTTCTCTATTCGTTTTGCTTTTTACCAATTTTTTGGGAAGCAAAAGCAGCAAGCAAATGAAGCCTAAGTTAATCTCAACAAAATCAATTTTCCCAATACAGAAATAAGTGGTATAATGATACTTAAAAGAAGAAAATACGTGTTTAGGCTGCAGCAAGAAAGAAGCACAGTTAAATGAGTTAATGTTACCATTGTTTCAGATTATTGAATTGATTACTATACAATAACTCTTCACTGATTTGCATTATTTGATGTTGGAGGAGGTGTATGCCATGTATTATAGTATACTTATGTTTTTGTTTAACCTTAACCCTTTCACAATAGATAACCAGGATGGCAGAGAATAAAAACCTGAAATATGGAAAGAACGGTGACAGGATCTGTGGCTGATATAAGAGCACCAAACATTAGGCATTCAACAAAAGGAAGTCCGTACATGACGTACATGAGACCACCCAGATAGCTGTAACATATGAGGGGGTAAAAGGTAGTGAGAAAAAGGGAAAACTCTTGCATCATGGAAAAGACTGATATCTTTATAATGAATAAATACTCACACTAAAACTCCTGCAACAACTGAAGCTATAAAAGTTCCTAGAATAGCAAATGTGACAATGGCTCCAAAGTTAGAGAAAAAGGGTTTCTACCAAAAGGAGAGAAAAGGCGATGAGAATTAAAGGAAGACCAATATGCAAAATGCAACGCGAGTTTGCATAACTTTATCTGTAATAGAAAGACAGTTAATACTACTTACAGGTGATAGGCTGAACCCTGATTGAGTGCCGGAAAAGGGAGCTAAGAAAAACAATTAGCTATATAAGCTACCTTCTGACTGAGAAATAAGAGAATGTGTAGATATTATACCAGGGAGGCATCCAGATTGAAAAGGAAAAAGTAGGAATCAACTCTTTACTAATCGAAAAAAAAAGGATATAAGATAATTGGAGGTAGGAGAAATAGGAAGAAGAACTCCTCATGGAAATTGAACCACGTCCTGTGGAGGAATAGGAGATGAAATCAGGGTTTCCCAATTAAACCACAGAAGATTGAAAGAAAATATAATAATAGGAAAGAAATGGAGGACCTGATGCTTGTTTCAGTGTCGGAGATGTTAGCAAGTCCACCAACAATCAAACCTGTTAGAAATATTATCATTGCGATCAAGGAAATTGAAAGATAAGATAAAAGATGAGAAGGAACAAATTGACCAACCAATAAGCAAAGAAGCGCTGGCCTCAGGAAGATAATAGAATTTGTGACGGCGAAGAACATGGCCGACGACGAAAGAGAGGACAAGCATCATAATCTGAAGGAGAATCCCCACTCCAGCGGCCTGCTGCTCCTTTCCGGGGCTCCCTAACTCCGCCGGTGAAATCCCCATCCTTTCCCTTTGAAAAAGTGAAGATGCCTCACGGCGAACAACAAATCAAGGACCACCTCCCCCGCCTCCAAAAACAGTCACGGTGACGGCAACTTCCGATGACGCCTTCCGTCTCCGTCAACTTCTTTTTGTCTTTCCCCTAATTAGGAGTCATGACTTGCGACTTTCCTGTAAGTTTTATTTTTACTGAGATCTTCATTCTGTCTGTTACAATTGATGTCGTTTTCTTATTCTACTTATTTATTTGATGTTTAATATGTATAAGTTTTTTTTTTTTTCACTGATAATGTACTTTTGGCGTGACAGCCGAGTAACGGTTATGGTAGATCCTCACTTTCTACAAGATGCGCTATCAAAATTGACTTAAGAAAAGTATTTGATTCCCGAACGGGTATGTGGGCTGGATTCGGTGCTGTCTCACCATACCAATGTTTTCCCAATGGAGGACTGGATCATGGTTTCTTTTGTTGAAAAGTCCATGGATTGGGTCAGTTTCGGAGTTATCTTTTAAAAATATCAATCCAGAATGACCCAGGCCAAAACTGGTCCACGCAGCACTCTAAATAGAAGGGTACATAATATATAAATATATTATTATTATTATTATTATTGATGATATTCGACGGAAAAAGAGAGGCAAAGGGCATCAGAATACAGAAACCAGAAAATCACTGAAATCAGAAATGAATGGGAGTGCCACAGTGGCAGTGGGCATTTGCCCCTCCACCTCCAAGCCATTGAGCATAGGCTTAAGCCCAATCCCTATCCGTTTGCGCTGGAGGAGGAGGAGGTGTTTGATGATTGAGGTGGAGGCGGAGCCAACCCGGCCAGAGGCCCAATCCGTCTCTCGCCGCCTCATTCTGCTTCGCCATGCCAAGAGTTCTTGGAATTATCCAGCTCTGCGAGGTAGTTTTCTCTTTGTTTTTGAATTTCTTTCATTAGCAGTCTGACCTCTTGTTATATTAATTGCCTATCTTGCTATCTTAATTTCCTTAACGGTGAATGCCACAATTTGGTGAACCCCAACCTCGCGAGGTACTTTTCTCTTTGTTTTTGAATTTCTTTCACTAGCAGTCTGACCTCTTTTTTTATTAATTTCCTATCTTGCAATCTTAATTTCCTTAATGGTTAATGCCACAATTTGGTGAACCCCAACCGCTCAGATCATGACCGTCCTCTCAGTAAAATCGGACGAGCTGATGCTGTAGTGGTTTCTCAAAAGCTCCAACATGTGGGTTGGATCCCTCAGCTTATTTTATCTAGGTTAGCTAGCTTATTTTTTCTAGACATCATATCTCAAATTTCATATTATTGTTTTTTACAAGAGAAAAAAATCTCAATGTCTTAATTCATGTTGCTCCAGTGATGCCCTGCGAACCAGGGAAACACTTAATATCATGCAGAAACAGGTGCGTGGTTTCCTGGAAGCAGAGGTCCATTTTATCTCTAGTTTTTATTCCATTGCAGCCATGGATGGACAGACTGCTGAACACCTCCAACGAACTATCTGTCAGTATTCGAGGGATGAAATACTTACCATCATGTCAGTTTCTCTTTTGTCTTCTTTCTTATTCACTTTGATTCTTCCTTTGCTGTCTTTATTTTATTTCTATGTGTTATTCAAGTTCAAGCATTAGGTAACCATAAGTTGGCACTCTTTACTTGAAACCTGGTTGGTATAACGGCATGCATATTTCCAAAGAAAATGTCTCCTCATAGTCTATCACACGTTCACACTTGTTTAGTTATACAGGTGTATGGGTCATAATAGGGGATGGGAAGAGGCAGCCTCCATGTTCACTGGTGCTTCCATAGAGCTCAAGACTTGCAATGCTGCTTTGCTTGAAGCTACTGGAAAATCTTGGGAAGAGGTTACATTTCCTTTCTTCATAAAATATTTTGTCATGTTGTCTTTGTGTCATTTTTGCCCCTTTTTTTTATGGAAGTACTATATACAAAATATAATCTTTATAAACTCAGCAATATGCCAAGTCCAATTACTTAATACTTTATTTTTTTTTTCAACTACAATTACACTCTTTAACAACGGCTACTTTTATCTACAACAACTTCTCTGGTAGAGATGGTGCTAACAGAGACTTATAAATTATTCTCGTAAGCTCTCATTAGGCATAATTTAGTTTCTGTCAAGCTGTGGTGTAGTCAGAAATTGTCTTCTGAGGTGAATAAACTAATACTACAATACTTCTTGCCATCGAAGAGTTTTCATATATTTGATAACCATTATATAATTGTTTCATTATCAATCTTATTAATTTTTTTTCAACATACATAACCAAATAAACAATCACAAATCATATTATCAACTATTCAATTATGCAATAGATTCTTCATTGTTTTCATTGTTGAAAAAGTCTTTCTTTTTTTATACTTGCAATTGCAATTTGCAAATGAAACTAGTTTTAGTAGGAAAAAAAAAAAACTAAGAGATTAAGGTCAATATTTATTTTCACTATACCATGGATCAATATTGAATTTTACCATTATACTTTAATTTCATTAAAGATCAACATTATACTTTTCATTTTGTTGACTTTGGGACATAAAGTCAAGAAATTGATGCTAATTTGCAATTTGCATTAACATAATATTTCGTGAAATATTTTAATTTTGTTATTTTTGTCCAAAATCAATGAAATTGAAAATAAAATAGCAAAACTTGTCATATACATAACCTAAATGTTCTATGAAATACTCCAATTCAGTTTTTTTTTGTTTAAAAATCAAGAAAATTAAAAGTATAATAGCAAAATTCAATAAGATTAAAGTATAATGGCAAATTTTAATATTAAGTGATTGTACAGTGATAAATTTCACTTTAATCCCAAAAACAAATGGATTAGATAATATCATTCTTTGTCTTCACTAATTTTTTGACTAAATCTTTAAGAACAAAAGTAAAATATTTGATCTCTACTTTTCACTAACTATACATTTATCCCAAAATTTCTTGTCTAGTGAGATCAATTTCAAATATATCCTAAATTAATACATCTATTACCAAGAAATTTTAGTGGGGTCAATTTACAATTTACCTTAAACTATATTATCAAGGATTTTAAATTTCAGTGGGGTCAAGTGACTCTGATACTTATACGGTAGCTACACCCCTAGTTTCAAGGGGTTTTCGGTTGCATGTTCTCATAAAATCTGAAGAATTGATAGTGGAGTGGGTTGAAATTTTTTTTGAAAACAGGTTACATGATCGATGCGGCGTATGCAGGCTTTCTTTCCCTCTTCTCCTTTAAAAAAAAAAGGAAGGTAGTTGGGCAATTCTGTACAAAACCTAATTGCCTAATTTGAATGAAATCAGGCCTGTGTTGCTTGTCAGGGGTGAATGTAGGATACATGGACGTGTCTGACATGGGTACATTTTATTTTTTCTATGTTTTCGTTATATTTGGTGCAGAGAGCCAGGCAGCATCCGTTGGGATGTACCAGACACATGTCAGAAAAATTAAAGTGTCTGAACAACATAAAATCAGACTCTTCAAGGTTTCATGTAGAGGCCTACAGGATGTATATTCAAAAAACTTTTAAAGCATATTTAGTTGAATTACAGACACCAATGCGGCCTAGCCTTAAAAAATAAAAATAAAAAAAAAAAAACGTATTACTTTGTTGGATAAACAGCGTTGGCTTGAAATTTAGGGCATAATAGCTTAAGTCCTTTATTAGTAAACAAACAAGAGAAGTGGGATCAACGTTGTTTGAGAGGATTGGATTAAGCTTGTAAGGTTACAGATAGAGGCAGTCCCTGCAACTTTTGCTTCTGTTGAGCATAGATTTGAGTCAACCTCTTTTCTGTGGTGCGGAGTTTGTTATGCATCTAATTAAATGTGCTTGCTATAGATTCTTCAATGAAAACTGGTGTTCTACCATGGCATTTCTCAAGAGAACTGCTATCACATAAAACTTAAAAGAAGAATTTGGTGGATGAATTCTATAACAAGGGCAGAATGGAATTGAACAAATAAGAATTCTTAATGCTTCAATCCATTGCACAATAGATTTATGATGTTTCTTTTGTCTGATCCCTTCTAGATGGCTCTCTTAATGGTTGGCATATTTTAAGACAATTCTTATTAATTAAAGAAACTTATATGCATATAGAAAGCAGAGCTTCAATGTCCTTTTTGGACTGGACTTACCGAGATGAAGATGCAAAAGCTTGACCAGTGCTGCTTAATCACCATAATCAATTATTATCTGAGTAAAGATTTGAGATTTATTTGTTTATAATTTTTGAATGGAAGAAGCATTACTGAACCTAGTGTCTTACCTTTTCAGGCATTTGCTGTAGCAGGATTTGGTGGGTGGAAGCTACAAGGCATAGTGACACCCAGTAGTAACCTGTAGAGTATAGACATTCCAAAATTTTGAAATAATCTGATTCCTCCACACTCTGCTCTCCCTGCAAGGAAAGAAGAAATTATTCAAAAAAGCATTATTCAGAGACAGAGTTGCTATACAGTGTAAATCGGCTTCCAATCCCTACAGATGTATGTTGTTTGCACTCTGCAGGTTGCAATTGTTGAAGTCCATCCTGATCAAAACATAGCAGTTGCAGTTTGCACAAGTTTGAATATGTGGAATTGATGCGTGGCTATCTTGAAACTGTTTCGTCGTTTGCTAGGTTCATTATATTCCACAAAAATGAGTCTGCGGCTCTGTTCCGTCAGATAGATCTTCTTTTGCTTGACTCTAGTGCGACGAAAATGATTATTTCTAATAATTAATTTGAAGGTTTGACCGTGCGTAAAGGTAATTCTACATGCTCTAAACTAGCCCTGCTAAACTGGTGCAATTGCACTCATGCATTGCGGGATGGATCTTTTTGTTTTTTTTTTTTTTTTTGGTTTTCAGGCCTCAAGGGTGACCTTTTTCTTTGTTGCGGCCAACGAATGACCATTTGGAAAATTGATACGCTTCGGGAAAACTGGGTGGTTCACCTATGTAGTAAGCAAAAATAACAAAAAGGTTCAAGGGGACGGGTGTTTACCTATGTAGCTGCATATGTAATGTCAATTAGCTACCTTACAAATAATCATGGAATGATTGCAATTGTCCTGCAACTCTGGCATGAGATGAGCGGCAAGCTTTGAAGTGAGAAGCCTTAGTAGAGAAGGGCTTTTGCATTTTAATTGACAGCGGATAATTCTTGTTTGAGAATCTTCACTTGCAGAGATTGTGATTGATGCTTAAGATAACGAATGAGATAAATGATAACTATCGTGTATTATGTTTAGTTAATTTTTTTTTTTAAATGATTACAAGAAAGATTAATTATTTTTTAAGTATAAAATAATTCAATCATTTCAAAATGAAGATGATTATTTTCATAAGATTAAATTTATATATTTTATTATATTTTTAAAAATTATATCAATAATTTAAATTATATAAATTTTATAAAAAAATTAATTTTAATTAATAAATAAATTATTTTATCTTAATTTTTACACACAATAAATATAAAATAAAATGATATTATTTAATTTAATTTTATTTATAATATTATTTTATCATATATTATTATAATTTTATATGCCAAACATATTTGATTTTTGACTCTCCTATGCCCTCAGGCTTGAACTGTAGTTTTACTAGTTGTACATCCGAAGTTATGATGCAAAAGTTCGGTTTGTGATTCCAGGAGTAAATTTCAGGAATGATCATTAATCTATCAAATAAATTCAATTGTTGACTGATAAAATCACTCAAGTTTATTAAATATACGAAGTCTAACCACTAATGAATTTCATAAAACAATGAATGAAAATTTGACATGACTGCCACATAAGCAACAATATAATCTACCGGGCAAGCCTTTTGGAAAAATTTACCACGGAAAATTTTTTTTTTTTCACATTGCTACAACAAAAGAAAAGACTGATGATGACCGTAATAAGAAGTCACTAGATTCCTAAATTTTGTCCGCTGGACAGTCAACAGGAAACAATGGTCTCTAAAGTACTGCGACTTGACTTGAGAAACAAATGGTTACAACTAACAGAGTCAAAAACCACATTTGTCAGAAGGGAGCTAAGAACAGATATATAGAGAAAATGGAACAATAATAAACAAGAAAACAAATTTCTTCTCACTTTAATAAGTTTCGATAAGTTAAGGAAAACATTATTCTTTGGTAATACATGTAACATTTGTTGTCTTCAAAACTTGGTTGAATGTCAAATATCTCTCACAAAAAATTATATCATTGAAAGAAAATAGTAGTTTATTATATATGTTATTTATGCTCGTAAAATTTTATTTTAGTTAATTAGTCTCTACAAAATTTATCTATTCATAGTAAAAAGCCTCATCTTTTTTCATGAAAATAGGCATTTTAAGCCAAAACGATCTTCAATAAATTTTTTTTTTTATTTTGTTTTTATTCCTTCTAAGATGATTATTTTAGGATTAAATATCTTTTAATACGATTTTAATCATAATTTAATATTAATATATTAAAAAATACACTTAACATATATTAAAAATATTTTATAATGTTTTAAATTTTTTATTATAAACATAATTTTAATTACCTAAAAATTTGACAATAAACAAATTATAAATGAGACTTTTTTGTTTATGGTCTTTGTACCTCACATTGCAGAAAATCAAAAGGCTCTTTATAAATAAGCATATCTCCTTCGCTCTTTAAGTTTTAAGTGTTCATTTGAGCTATCATGACATGACATATTTTTATAGGTCTTTTTCAAAATTAGTTTGCAAATTATAAATCAATTATTATTTTAAAAGAAAAAATTATTTGATAGCTCATAAGCTAGCACAAACTCGTTATGGATTGTGCCTAACGCGGCCCATAAGGAAGATTAGATCATAATCTCAAGAAACTATAAGATCAACAGCGAAAATTACAGCCCAAAAAAAGAATGTTACTATGCATACTGGACCAATTCATTTCTTCTAAACAACCTATTATGCATTTCCCCTTTTTTAATCGGGAAAAAGATAACAACAGTACGACTCCTGGCAGTTCAAAGCTTTTTTGTCTTAAAAAAAAGTGAAAAAAAATTACTTTCTTTCCCATAAGCTGCTTTTCTTAAATAAACAAAGAACTGTTTTCTACTCCTGTAACAATCACAATTACTTGTGAGTGACAAGGGTCGTGCTGGACCAAAGATTTCCATAGGAACCGTGCTAGATTTTTTTTTTGTGCTGGGCTTCCACGGCTCGCTATAATGTGATGCCAAAAGTTAGGTCGTGTCGTGGCAATCCATTCTTGTCACTTTTAATTGAAATCCAATAGATAATTATATTTGATATATTTAAAAATTTTGAGTGATTTTGTTAAAATATATTAAAATTTAAAATTTACACAATAGTTTAATGACATTCCTAAAACCAAAAGCTGAAATGTAGAAACAACTATGGTTACAAATGAGGTAACTAGTTTATTAATATTGAATTAAATTTGAGTTTAAGTTACTTGATTAATCGAATGAATTAAGTTTAAATATTTTAACATTTGATTCGAACAATTCATGCGTTTAATATAATTTTTTATTTTTAATTTATATTTTTAATATTTTCAATAATAATTTAGATTTTAACTTTAAAAATATATATATGAAATCTTAAGGTAGCGTTTGATTTGAAAAAATTCATAAATTTTTTTTATGGTAGATATTTGATTTTTACATTTGCTTCAAGATAATCCGATTATGATGAAAAATGTCAGATTCTCAACGGTACTTAAAGTCTCAGAATTAAAAACTCACTTTTTCTTATAATATTCTAAGATTTCATGGAAAAAAATTATTTTGTTTTCAAATTTGACCTAAATAAAAAAATAATGAAATAATCGTTACTCTTTTGAAAAGCATGTGAGTAAACTCAATTATAAATTTTTGTACAAAAAATTTATTTTTATATTATAATTAAAGTGTTTGTCATGAAGAAACATTTTAAATAAATTTTTTATATTTTAAGATTTAGGGTTTATTATTAATATTTTTATAAAAAAATTATTTAAGGTGTTATTTATATATTATTTAAGATATTTTTATATAGAAAATATCTTAAATAATCATTTTATATTTTAAAATTTAGGGTTTATGGTTAATATTTTTATAAAAAGATTATTTAAAATATTTTTTGTACAAAAACACTTTAAATAATTTTTTTATAAATTAAAAAATAATTATTAAATAATCCATAATATAAAAAAATTTAAGGCGTTTCTCAATAAAAAATACCTTAAATAATCTTTTTAATTTTTTATAAAATAATTATTTAAAGTGTTTTCTATTAAAAAATACCTTAAATGATCATTTTATAAATAATTTTAAAAAATATTTTTAATTTATTTCATGATATAAAAAAAGTAATTAATTGATTTTTTTTCTAACAATTTTTGTTATCAATTTTTATTACTTAAAAAAAATACCAAATGTCTCAATTAATGATATTTTATAAATAAAAATAGTAATCAAATAAAATATATCTTTTTTTTCTAATAAAAACATCATTTGTTGTTTTAATTTTTATTAATAATAAAATAAATAAAAAATTATTATTATATATATCAAAGAAATTATAATAATTATATAATAATTAATATACGTGGTTTTCACAAACTAAATTAATGAATCTCAGTAAGAGATATATTGAAAATGAAAAAAAATCACGACATCACAAAAATTACATTTTCTTCGAACCAAACACCTCTTAAATTCCTAATTTCAAATCCTCTTAGATTCTTAATTTCAAATCATTTGCTTTCCCACTCTCACAACTCCCAAACAGCACCCTCTTCTTTGCCAGTGTCATCGCAGCAGGCAGCAACCTCCCCCCTTCCTTTTTTGCAATTTTCCCTACACCCTGTATCAGCAAAATTTGTTTCATCAACCACACCCACTCCTACTTATCAACCACACCCATACCCATCCCTCCTTTCACTTTCCCGATCCTAAGCGACTCCTCCTTCCGTTCTCTCCTGGTCTCATCCCAGAAGGTAGCAACCATCCTAAGCGGTGCCCCTTCCGAGCCAGTGGCAGCAGCAAGGAAGGTTTACCTTTACAAAATCTATTAACTATAGGTTCCTTCTTCTAGATGAAGAAAGTCTAGAATTAGTTTGCAAAAATGATAAGGGGAGTAAATCTTTTTCTTCTCAAGTGCGGTAGTAAAATTTTTTTGTCTTTGTAATTATATTGTTATGATTCTTTGAATTTAATGCAGTTTAATTTCAGTTTCTCTGTAATAGTTTTATGACTTTGGACTTTAAAATTATCTTTTTGTAATTGGTTGTTTTATTTATAATATTTATTTCATAAAAAAAAAAAAAAATCAATCAGATTGCCCTTAAAATCTGAAGATTTGTGTTGCCTCGAATTGTTACGGTATATTCGAGCTTTAGAATAATTAATCAAGCTTTACTGAGTACAAATTTGTAAATTTTTGTTATTATTTACCAAGTTAGAGTAATTCAAATTTTAAATCAAGTCGTTTAAGTTGGATAAAATTAAATTTAATTGAATTTGAGACGAACTTCAAATTTTAATTATCAAGCCAAGATAAAAGTTCGAACATATCAATGGATCAGATCGATCCCTTTGGTTTTTAGACATTACCTTAGTCACGTGAGTCAGAGTTTAGGGTATCTGTTTTATTTTGCGTGAAAGTTTTGAGACGTCTTTGGATGAGATATTTTTTGAAGTAATTTTATTTTAATCAAAAGTTTTAAAAATTTAAGAATAAATTTATTTGTTTAGATAAAAAAAATAAATAAATTTTAAGTAGAATTTCAATAAAAAATTTTAGCACTTCAATTTTTTTTTGAAATTTTATCTAAAAAGGTGATTTTTTCAAAATTTCTTTTAATTATCCAACTCAGGAGTTACACTTGACCCATCATTAAATCTAAAACTTAAAAAAATATAATATAATTTTATTTAATTTCAATATATTTAATTTTTATATTATTTATAATATCTATAATTTTTACAAATATATTTATATTTTTATTATCATTATTTTTTAATTAATTTTTTATTTCATAAAATTCTAATAAATTACAAAATTTAAAATAAATATTTATACAAATAAACTAATTATAAATTCTATCATTTTACAATAAGGTTTTTTAAAATGCATTCGTTTCAAAATTTTCCATCACTCCTGAAGTTTTGAAAGAAAAAAATGAAAAACATTCGATATCCCATTGTTCATTTGCGACCCTCCCATTCCCATAGGCAGACCCAGTAAAAAGGGGCACAAAAGAAAAAGCTGTCTCCCTGTCTCTGAGCTGTGCTTGCTTTTTCTTGCCTCCTGGTGGCTGCCGCCTCCATTCTCGGCCGCCAACGGCCCAAAACCTGTGAGCTCCTAATTTTTTCTGTTTTGGAAGAATTTTCTAATTCTGGTTTGAAAAGTTTGTTCTTTTTTCCTGTTTGTGAGATCTGAAACCGGATTTCTTCATTCTTTTTGGATAATCGAATTGTATTCATTAATCCAAAGAAGCAAGGTAAAAAATCATCTCCTACCCATGTGTCACGAGACAATTTTCTTTACAATGCCCCATTCAAAGTTCAAATTCTTTTTAGGTCCTAGGCGCATTAGATCTGGAAAATTTGTGAATGAGCTTTGTGTTTCATTTTGCGTAAACTGTTTTCTGAATGGTTATTGTTTGGTCAGTTGCTAACAGGTTGGATGTGTTTGTAGTTGGATGGGCTTGCAGTGGTGAGAGATTCCGCTCAAATTAAAAAAAAAAAAAAAAAAAAGAGACGATTACTTTTTTTTTTTTAATTTGGGACACGGAGGGTTGGACGTTTCGTGATGATGTTGGGGAGATATTCTGCTCAAGTCTCTGGGACTGCAAATGTATAGTTCGATATATGGCCTTTAAAGATGCCTTTGTTTCTATTTCCCCCTCTGTTCCAATAGAAGGGAAGCTTCTTCCGTACTCTCTATAGAAGAGTTCAATTCCATTTTTTCCGCCAAGAAAGAGTTCAATTCGAGCAACCAAAAATGTTAAAAAAGTGAATTTGTAGCTGCTCATAGACGGTCCACTTTCAAAAGCTCATTAAAAGCAAGATGATTGATCAGTTCATCAATTTTGTCATTCGACCTCCCAGGTATCTCTCTGTTACTTTATTCCACCCTAATTCCTCGCTCATCTCTTAAAGGTGAACCGACCTACGGCCCTAATCTTTTTATTGCGTTTTAGTTTCATCTTGTTCCTTTTGCTAAGGCAAAATCATTTTAGTAGTTTATTTTTAAAGAGGAGTCAGCAAGAAAACAAGAGAAACGCCTAAAATGGACAAAGCTTTCATGTAAAGCATTACCAAACCAGGTTATTTTTTTTCATTACTCAATACTTCTCTTATTTTTCTAAGAGCATCACGGTTTACACCTTCTGAGGGCTTGTTCCTGCCAGCTTGAAACAAATTGCATGTCAAGGAACTGTTATTGCTGCCTCTATCTCATTTGTCGATTTGCAACTCCTTTTTTAATTAAGCAACGTTTTGAGCACTTGTCAGAGCTGCACTGCTGCTCAAATCATTGATCTTCCTTTCGGTCATTATCTTTTGTACTTTTTCCATGCGGACTTGCAGGGCTGATTATAACCCAGACCAGTATCTGTGGGAAAGGGAATTTACTCTTGCAGGAAGGCAATACAAAAGACAAGACTTGGAGGCACGTATGGACATCTTTTCTTCACTCTATTCCCTTTTTTCTCTTCGTCTATCAAACACCTCTATGCTTTATAGTTTAGCTTTTCGGAACCCTTTATATTGTCTTTTTCAATTTTTTACAGCTTACAAATGCAAGGGGCCATATGTTGCGCTGTAGTCATTATATGCCTTCACCATATCCTGAAGAGACTTCTCTCCCTTGTGTTATATACTGCCACGGAAACAGGTATAAAATTCTTTCCATGCCTTCTGGTTATATGTAAATTGTAGGTTTAAATGGTTTTTAGAGGGGATGGTGCCTTAAAAAGGAATTGTTCTGAATCATTATCATTATTGCAGTGGATGTAGGGCTGATGCCAATGAGGCTGCTGTAATTCTTCTTCCATCAAATATTACGGTATTCACTCTTGATTTTTCGGGTTCAGGCTTATCTGATGGTGATTATGTTAGCCTTGGCTGGCACGAGGTATGTGCCCGATCTACTTGAGTGCCTTTGTTATCTAAGTTTGATGAACATTTCTATTTTCTTTTTTGTCTTTTTTTATCTGTTTCATTATCAAACTCTTAACTCCTTGACAGAGAGACGATCTCAAGATTGTGGTAGCATATTTGAGAAGTGAAAAACAAATATCACGTATAGGTCTATGGGGACGATCAATGGGTGCTGTCACCAGGTGTTTCATGTTGTCACTTCTGAAGTTATTGCATTTTCAGTTATTTTTTACAACTTTTGCTTTCTCAAACAGGACGTGTTTCAACTTTCGCTTGTTCTCCTGATGGTGCTTTTCTGAATTTTTTGTGCCTCAAAATAACTCTCTCTCGTTCTCTTGCTTTCTCTCTTTGTTATGTAAAGCAGCCTTCTTTATGGAGCTGAAGATCCTTCAATAGCAGGAATGGTGTTAGACAGTGCCTTCGCAAGCTTATTTGATCTCATGATGGAACTTGTTGATGTGTATAAAATACGACTTCCAAAGTTCACAGTATGAATACTTCTTCTCTGTGTGTCTGTGTTAGCGTAACTTTGTGCATTTGAAAGCAAACAGGAATGTGAAGCTATCACATTCCACTTGTTAACCGATAGTCACAGAATGAGATGCATGCTCTATGCAAAGCAAATAATGGGGGTGATACGAGATGCATGATCTTGTATTACCCTGATTATGGCCACCAATGGAAGAAGAAAGAATGATTCAGCTGAAATGGCCCAATTTAGTTGGTTGGTATGGCCAGAAAATCCCACTACACTTCAGTATCAGATGTGAGATGGGACAAGTGGTGCTAACGTGCTGCTTTTGTCAAAATGTGGTATATCCCATCTGGTGTTGGTGGTACTAGTACAGTAATGATAAAAATTCATTAATCTGTGAACTAACAAAATAGGGTTCATTACTGTTTATATATTCTGTGTTTAGATTTCTCTTAATATTGCAATGAGAGTTGTATTTGCTGCTTTCTATTTAAATTAGGTTAAGATGGCTGTGCAGTACATGAGGCGTGTAATTCAGAAGAAGGCAAAGTTTGATATCATGGGTCTAAACTGTCTGAAGGTTTGTCCATTATGTATGAACTTTTTGATGTTGACTCCGATTAGAATGACAGAGCAAGTTAGCAGATTGATTAATTTTTTCATACTTCATGATGTTAAACCTATTTTCCAGATCAATGATAGACTTGTTTTGTCCTAGAAGTTATTTCTTTTCATGTAGGGTTTGCTTCTTTACCTACTGCTTTATCTAATACAATAGACTTCCTGTTCACAGGTGGCACCTAAAACATTCATCCCAGCATTATTTGGACACGCCAGTGGGGACAAATTTATTCAACCTCATCATTCTGACCTCATCTTTAGATCATATGCGGTAATTTATCTTTGAAAATTCTTACATTTCGCTTGAATGTATTGGCTGATCTTGGAAGTGTTTGACCATCCATACGTTATGCAGGGAGATAAAAACATTATAAAATTTGATGGTGATCACAACTCCTCCCGGTCTCAGTTTTATTATGATTCAGTCTCTGTTTTCTTCTACAATGTGCTTCAACCTCCCAAGGTTTCTACTTCTTGTCCAAGTAAGCTTGAGAAATACTATGACCTGGGTGATTTGAAAGTCGGTGCTGCTATGGACGAGGTGAATTTCTTTTCATGTGGAGCTTTTGAGAAAGTAGTTTAAGTGTAAAAAATGCATCCTTTGTTTACTGTTTGTGTTAGCTATCAACCTTTCTTCCCATAAGCTTGTCAGGAATGCTGCCTCTAGTGAAACATTTCCATTAGAATGTGGATCAGTAGCCATGCATCATTGCATAACCTTGAGTTTAGCACAGCTGCATTATGATTATATTATATCTTCTTCTTCTTTGGGTATGTTTAGGATGCAGCAGTGTATTATGATTATAACATTTATAGTGTATTAATACATCCCCCTGTCACCCTGTCATTCACAAATTTCTTATAGCATAACAAACCAAGGGAACAACTATGTTGGAGCTGGGAATGAATTTGCTGGATAAAGGTGTTTGCTAAGATGATCTGGCCCAGTATTTTGTGATGATAGCGTGCCCTGTGAAAGCTAGCTACCAAAGGATTAACATTAATTTCTATATTTATTTTAGGGTCTGTTGTATGAAATAATCACTGGCCTTCAATCTGCATCAACCAATGATGCAAGTTCATCTTCTGCTCCACCTAGTGTTTTGACGACAAAGCCAGTTAATGAAATGTTCTCAGAAGTTGCACCACTTACTGGATTGGTAGTATTTTTTTCACTTTGTGTTTGGTATTGTTTGGTTATTACTCTAATTATAGATATTTTTACAATTTGGCATTTATTTATTGCTTATATAAATGCAGGATTCCATCCTTAGTAGAGATGATAGACCTGAAAGTGACAAACCATCAAATTTACAGGTATCTGAAATATTTCTGATCACCTCTAATTTTTACTTTCTGTGTTTGTCTGCAACCATCTGCATATGTGTATGTTTTATTCTTCCTAAAGGGAAAACTGGTAGTTTCTTTATTCAGTTTCTGTGTGATACACTCTCAAATTAGTCCTGAGAATTGACAATCATGTTTCGCTGAAGACGGTTGCTGAACTTGAACATTGTTTCATTAGAGATTTGCTTTTCCATTTGCAGGATAAGCCTAATGGCCAAAGTGACGAATGTTGCTCGTATACAAGCTCCAACAGGGAAAGTTGGGGAAGATGCTCTTCACTAGGTGGCAGTGATGAGGAATCTTCAGCAGACTGTACAACTGCTGACAACAGTCATCAGGTTCCCCCTCTCTCTTTTCACTACATGGTGATGAAAACTTGCCTCCATCTACATAACGCATGTAACGGGTCTACAAAGCTATTAGATTTAAAACTGTTTTAGTCAATAAAAAAAAATGCATGCTGAGTAGATGAGAGATCTTGTGAATGAGTTCATAACTTCTGTTTGCCACATAATTCATTTCAACTGGAACTAGTAATAAAGTACCCATTGCTAGGCTTTGGGAAGTAAGAGAAAAGCAAAGTTTTTTTATCTTTTATTTATTTTTAATTAATAAAGATTATTAAATTATTTAAAATTATCTTTAGTTAAATATGTTCATCTGATTTTTTAATAAAAATTATATTGGCTCACAAAATATCTATATTCTTTAAAATTATTTTAATTAGTTGAAATCTTACTATTTTTAATAAAATTTGTTATTATATTTTGTAATTATTAAAATATATCGTATTATATTCTTCTTATTATTTTTTATTAATGTTTCGATTATATAACAAATTAAGAAAATTTTTAATTTTGATAATAATAATGAATTATTATTATTTTATGATCATTTGAAATTATTTTTTTTATTGGAATAAATTGTAAGAATTTCCTTACACTTAAGTAAAATTAACTATATGGTTCTTCAACTTAAAAAAATATTTTAAAATTTATTATTACAAATTTCAAAATAATTTCATCATTAAAGATTTTTCGAATGATTATTTTTTTTATTAACTCTCTCTTATACTATTTAAAGTAACATATAAAATAAATATTATGTAAATAAAATTATAAATATATATCTAAGGAGTGAAAATATTTCTAAATAATAAAATAAAATTAAACTATTTATATTTTGGATTTGAGTTATTTATATAAAATGAGTTAAAGATCTACCTTCAAGTTTATTTATTTAAAAATGATCAATCTTCTGTGAAACCAAATTTAATAAATAAAATCATAACTCATTTATCTTTCAAAACTAAAAAAAAATTAATTTAAATATTAACCTAATCCATTTAGATACAACTCAACTCTCATAAACATACCAGGTCACTTTTCATACTTAAAACCCAACAAATCCATAAGAATAAACACTCATCACCTAACCTAACTCCCTACTATTCTTTTAATATAGATTAATAATATAGATATAGATTTTTTTTTCCATATCTTTTCTCCTTTAATGTTATTAAGCTAAAAAAAAAAAAATAAATGTGCTGACTGCATCATAGATATAATAATATCCAATTGCCACTCTTCTTTCTTACTGGAAAAATGCTTTGTCTCATTAGGCGACTCTTAACGTGCTTGCAACACATATCAAAAGCATGCAGCTAAAATCGGTCGACCCATCAAAAGAGAAAAAGATGAAGAAGAGAGCTTCAACAGCTCCAAAGAAACTCAAACACGAGAGATTTGAAAAGCTAGAAGCCCTTAGCAAACGACTACGCCTTTGCATCCTAAAACGAGTAAATCACCGGAGGCATCGCTCCACATGACTGCCCCTGTAACATAACTGCGTTGTTTTATTAGTTTTTTCAGTCCCAAGTGTTCAATTCGTCTCCAGGTCGAAGCTTAATGACACGTTTCCAGCAAGCTTTTCCTTCGAGTATGTATAAATGCAGCATCCACGTATTTTATTGAACACAATATTTGTCCAATCACTGCCTACCATGCTCAACTACAGACCTACAATATCATTATGCAATGAAATATGGTCAGTATGGGCGCGTGACACTCTTGGACGGACAGCTTGATATTATGTGAGGGATACCATACTGCATTTAGAAACGTCAAGATTTGGACTAGTTTCATCTCGAAGCGCTACGGTTTCGGTCTCTCATTGCTTGCCCCTAATTTATGTAGTTTAGAAAACTTGGTGCTTTTCATTCAAAAATAAATAAATAAAGATGATCAACGAGGTTAAAAAAACGAACAATGTTTCAAATTTCGCTTTCCTGAAAAGGTTGACGTAGTGACTTCAATTTCAATGAAAGTTTTGAATGGAGACACATGGTATTGATTACTTCAAATAATTAATCTTCACAATAAGCTTTATTTTTTACTCTAGTCTGTACTCATATAGTTCAAACACCAGCACATGAGCCCTCAAAATGGAAAACCCTTTTCAATTAGTAGTTTGGCATTAAATCCAAGACCATTTCTTAATATCTTAATGCCATCAACACATCCAGAGACGTCGTGTCGCTTAGTTCAGTGATGGTACAACGGAAAATATCCCAAATGACAATAACCGATCAAAGCCATCAAAGTCTTAAGACCTTCAAGCAAAACACTACAATCAGGGTATCTGACAGACACGGCAGGATATGTATGCCAAGTCCCAGGCATTGTTCACAGTAATTTCTCATTTCTAATTAAAATTCTAGTACACTATATGAGAGCTGGAAAAATCAGTATAAAGGGGCAGATTTACTTGAGCCTAATTATCTCATACATCAGACATTAACAAGTATCTTTTTTTACCTAATTAGAAATCTCCTCACGGGAATACACAGCCAAAATGAAGTGGAGAACATATATCATGTAGCACATATATGATACAACTACAGCTGGTTTCCTGAAGCCTTCCCCAATTGATTGTCATTTCCAATCAATATCCCAGATGAAGGATCAAATTGCTCCCTTATGAAAACTGACTGTGTTTGTTGGTAGGAGGCACTTATGCTCGACTCTAATATCTGGTGTGGAAGTACCATCTCCGGTTTAGCAAATGCTGCAGCCATGCTCACCCGTTGCTTCTTCATCAACCTCTCCCCCTTAGGACTCCCTGCAGGGGAACCAACGTGGCAACCAGAATCTGGGGTCAAAGGCTCATGGTGAGATGAGAAAGAGTCATCAACAGAGTGGCTCTTGGCAGGAGCTCCTTCTTTCGCAGCCTTATCCTGTAGGGGAGATTCTGAAGTTGGAGCTGGAGTTGCAGGGTCAGTCTTCTTGTCAGATTCCAGGCCATTGTCACCCAATGCTGGGATTGAAGGTCCTGACCCAGGTGCTTCTGCAAGGACTCCACTAAGACGTTGTTGCTCTTCAATAATTTTCTTTAGATACTTTCCTTGAGCCTCAATCCGCAACTGTAGCTGTCTCTGCACCTGTTGAATATCACAGGCATCGAAATTGCAGGTTTAATGAAAGCTTAGAAATCTATGTTTAGGGAAAACTCAACAAGTAAATGTAACACATGAAACTTTAAGCCTGTTTCTAATATGTTCACTGCACAGAAATATAGCAAATTGTTCCAGTTTCATAAACACAGAAAATACTGAGACCGAATGTTGTTGACACTCCTCAATACCATGCTACTCTGAACAGCAAGCAAAGCCTGATAATAACATAATAACCAAATTAATACTAAATTTGCATTGAGAATACATGCCTCCAATTGTTCATGCAAGCGCTTTTGCACCTCCATCTGCAACTTTAGAGCTTCAGTAATTTGCAGGCCACTGCAAACAGAAAAAATAATTCCATCAACTCAATGCAATTCAAGTTGATTAATCCATTTCAGATGACAAGATATTTTCATCATATAAATAATATGATCCTTTCTCAGACACAAAACACTGGTTTTATCCATTATGAGGAAAAAGGAAATTATTAAAATATCCATTTTGAAATTTGATTTTCGACACGTCATAGTAACTAGATGTGGTAGCAGGTAGACTGGCTCCTACTTTTGAACTATTCAAAACAAATAAGAATTGATGTACCCAAGCCTGACAGCCAATATTCAACTAAATACCAGAACCGCATATTTAGAGGATAATGATTTGTGCACCCAACTCCAAAACTATAATTTAAATGAACATTAATAATTAATAAAAATCAATTCAAGTAACTAGAAATATTTGGTTATATTCAACAATTCATAACTTTAACAAGAATCTACTAACTGTAGGAAATAGAAAAATAAAATAAAATATTACAACTAAAATTAGCTTACAACAATCATCATAAATAGAGGGTTGGGACAACAGGTAACCTAAAGTCACTACACAAACCCTATTTGGATTATCATATCACTTTACCCATTTATAGTGTACCCAAACCTATTTAAGCAGGTTAGATGGCATCCAATGCCAAGATAAAAGTATTCTTTTGCCATCCCTAAGATTATTTAGCAACTTTCTATTGATGGACAGCTTCCAGAATGTTATCTTTACTCCAGCAGGCATTATGGTTTTCTTATGCATGTAACTATGAACTCTTCCATCATAAACTTCCAGAAACATGTTTAAACTAACAAGAACTATTCTGACAATTGATGACTATATATGATAAAGGATATTTTAAAAAAATAATAAAACAATAAACACAAACTGAAAAAGCTGCAGCTTCACTTACGGTGAACCATCCAAATTGGTAAGCATATCCCCAGTTTCTTTCTTGTCAGGCTTTTTACCTTCATTAACAAACAAGCAATATCAAGAAGAAAAATTTTGTACAAACAACTTGAGTTATAATGAACTTGAAGATTTTGATGCAGTATGAAGAATTAACTTAGTGGGTCGACTACAAATTTAACAACAACAGTTTACGTCTACATAAAAAATAAAAAATTAATAAAAGAAACAGGTAAACCTACCATCAGAAGAAGAATCAGGGAGATATTTCGCAAGTCGATATTTCTGGATGCATAAAAAAATAAAGTCAACAAAAGCTATAGACAATAATGGGGAATGTTACATGAAACACTCAACACAAACCTCACTCCCCCTGGGGCAACTCCAAACCAATGTACATAAATAAATACAGTTCTCCATTAGGTTAAAAAAGAATTATATACCTGTAAATGGCTTTTGACATGGTATATTGTCAAACCTTGTACACCCATGACTCTAAGAACTCCTTTTGGTGTAGCTCCTGAGAAGGGAAAAAAGAAAGAAACTTGTTCACTATTATACACTTTTCCATATATAAACGTGAAAATTCCAAGGTATTTAAAATTTCTGCATAAACATGTCCATGTAAAAAAATAAAGCCACCACAGCACCAAATGCTTTCTCATGCAATTTACCAAGAAAAGTTTATATAGATAATTCTTGAATGCAGGAGAGTAGCTGAAAGAGTGGTGCTCCAAGTTATGAAATCCCTCTTAACAATTTAAGTTTCCAGGAATTTAGAGAATTAGTCTTCCTTTTTCTAAAATATCTTACTTCATTAATCTTGTACCAAAAGAAAGGCAGCATCATTTCCAACCTTTAGCAAATAAAAAATGATCTAATTGCCAACCTAGTCAATTGCAAGCACATACAAATACAGGCTAAGAATTAATTATTAGCTAGGGTGATCATTGATGAGACTCACGATCTGGACCTCCAAGTTGAGCTACAGCATCAACAAAACGTTCATGAAGCTCCTGTGTCCAGCGCAATCGTTGCTTTGATGCAAGATTAGGGTTGTTGGTGAGGCTGTTCCCTCCACTTATGGGGTCCATCGTGCTAGCACCACAGTCTAAATGCTGACCATGAACTAATGAGTCATTGCGGACTAAACTTGAACCTGGAACAGTCTTTGGTTGATACATTTACAGTTTACCTGCAAGCAATGGGGAGTAAAAAGACTCATAAAGCCCATGATAAATGCAAAATGCTGATAGATTCCACATTAAGAAAAAACCAAACGCATCATAGATCCAATTTTCACCGTCTCACAGAAAAGAAAGAGGAATGGTGAGGAAAGTGTGAATGGAAGGATTATTAACCCCATTAGCCAACCAAACCCATACATGCTACCTCTTCTTCTTCTCTTGTTATTATTTTAGTGTTTTGCTCGAGAATGCCCTAAAGACACTTTTCAAGGTTACTATTTAAAGAAATATCATCATTAAATGCATTTAGAACCATCAAATTTATTTGTCAACGGTTGCAGTTAATATGAAAATATTTACATGCCATCACCTTAATAGCATTTGCTAGCAAAATCTTTGTCATCATTTTACGTCTTATGTAATCAAAGAAACCAAAGAATTCATAATTAGCAAGACCATGGTTGAAATCAAATGTAAAAGTAAAGGCACAACTAGAGGTAGGTGTGAAAAGTCATAACTTTCTAATTAATCCAAATATATCCTCTAAAAACACATAGCAGAGTAGGTAACCATAATCTCCTTGCAATCAGAATCAATACAAAATTGCCATTGCCATAAGCACTGAGTTTTCCTTATCATACACTAAGATTGCAAATAATTCTCCAATTTTGCATTTCCTGGTAAAACAGAGAGCACTGCATCTCAACCCTAAAATTTTTACCTAAACTTTCTCCAACCCTTGAGCTGAACCCTAGCCTTAAACAAACCACTACCAGAATATATGTAATATAACCCTAATAAACCTTGTAAAAGTTTTTGAAGCTAGCCCTCAAAGAAATCTAGGAATTGGAGATGTCAAATAGAAATGAAAACCTAAAATATGTTTCCCCATTTGAAGCAAAGGTTAGGCAGTTTATGTAGATTAAGGTATAAAACATGAAAAGGACTCAGCCTGCGGAAGGCATAAGCAGCCGTATATAATATTAGCAGTTTATAAGAATGAAAAAAATGATAAAATGCGCCTACTGGACTGCATGAGTTGTACAAACAGAAAGGGAGAGTGGAGCTGATTGATATCGTAGGCATAGAATTAGGCCATAAAGGAGAAGATGCTGAGTTGGCGTTGATCAAAGCCATTTATTTGGAGTTGGGGAGCAGCTTGTCGAAATTAAAGCCCCTATTATCAACAAATTACAGGCTAAACAAACATAATTCCTAATTCTATTCTATTACACTCCATCTCTAAACCAATTTAATTCCTAATTCTATGCTATCATACTCCATCTCTAAACCAATTGGTAGTATAGGAAACGAGGGAGGTGTATTGTTTTATATATGCAGTAAATGTTTTCTTTTTTTTTGTTTTTTTTCCTTTTCATAAGAAGAAGTGCAGCGATTAAGACGTCTGACAGAGAAATTAGGGATAACAGTTTAGGGTTATGTATGTGTGTATATCTATATATGTGTGTGTGTGTGTGTGTGTGGAAAGAAAGAGGAACTGTAAACAATTGGCCGATCAGTTTTTATTTTTGTAAAAATAGATAAATATATATCGGTAATGAAATTGAACGTAAAAGGCAGAAGAAGCTGAAAAGAGGAAGTAAATAAAAAAGGAAAAGAAAGTTGGAGAAGAAGTAGCAGCTAAAGTTTAAAGAGAGGGAAAGAGGAGAGCGTACCAGAAGCAGATCTATGAGCATCCCATACCTTCCAAATTTACGCCCCTCACCTTGCTACGACGTAACTATAATTTAAATTTTGGTGCTTTTCATCAAAAACAGAAAAATAATCTGCGAATATTTAGAGGCCAAAATCAAAGGGAGAGAAAAAATCCAAAGAGGCAGAGCATACGCTTTTCGTCTCTCAGACACAGCCAACCCCTGCCCAGAGGCCAGGCCACAACCACGATTTTTTGCTTTCTTTTCCCCTTTTTTTCTTTTTTTTTTTAATGAGAAAATACTAGTATTACCATCTATTAGTAAAGTATATACAACTAGTATGTAAAGTATCTCTGTATTTCTGTATATCACTTTTTTTGTTTTTTAATATTTGCAATGTCTTTCTAGTTTTTATACCATTTTAGATTTAGACCAAACTCCTCGTCCTCGTATAATAGTACTTCGGTTTTTGCGATTAAAATTAGCTCTCTTTGATTTTTTTTATTTTTTTTTTTATAGTAAGGTAAAAATATCATTCATTTACTTTTACGAGATTCTTTTAAACAATTTATTTTTACTTTCCCTATATTAGAATTTTGGACCGCGACTGCAAATATTTGTAGGTAGGCATTCATTCATCATACTTGGAAGTATCTGTATCTGCTCTTCTTCCTCTCTCTCCGTCTAGTGCGTCATTCACGCATCTTAAATTTATTAATTAAGAAGAGAAATTATGTTTACACAGTTATAATAATAGCAAACGTAAGTAGGAGTATGATAATGAAATTCAAGATTGACATGTAGCGACCGGCTTCCACGGAATCTACCAAGTTATATTCCGTTCCTTCCCTCGATGATTCCGGCCATTGCTGTCTTCTTTCGTCTTGATTGTTACGTGAATGAATGATGATTTCAATTTTTATTTTCTCCACCCCGCCTTGCTAGTTGCTTTTTTATTTTTTATTTTTTGTCTTCTGTAATCATATTCTTAATCGACAATTCATCAATACCAACGTTCTATATTCCATTTCAACACATGCAATGACTCCATTCGCCCAACCATCCTCACTATTCCACTTCCTGATGAGTGATGCCACGCCGCTTCAATTTCACCTTAATCACCACCATAACTTTCTGCGTTTGTTATCCCATACCCTGATACCAAATGAAAAAACAAGACCAATATCCATCTGCTCACTTCAGCTTCCTCAATCCCATCCTTTGCTATCAGCTCGTTATCCTCCAACATTGCTGGACGCTCTCCTTTCTGCTTACTCTTCAGAGCTTCTTAGTCCCCTTCAACGTTTCCCAGACTGCTAATGCTGCTCAGTGATCTTACCACTATATTTTGGAAAAATATGTTTTGCAGACTTTAACTTCACTGCACAACCAAAATTTCCACATTATCCTACACGCCTCCACTGCATCATAACTTTTCATTCCCCAAAATTGCCTGCAATAACACAAGCACAGATTGAAAACCAAAAATCCCGAAGAACACATATAGGCATTCCAAGGTTGGACTTCGGAGATCACATGGATTTCCCATAAAATCAGCACAAGCCATGTTTAAGAGACTAAATGTTTGATATTTAGAGCATAAGCAACTTGGATTTACAATTTTCAGACTTGTTCCAGTCATCTCAAAGCTTCGATTTCCTGTCAACTCAGTGGACACAAATAAATCAGCATTTTTACACTTACTGTAACGACTTAAGCAAACAGAAGAATATGACTCATTTTACATCTCTACATGCCATATCCAGTTAGCCCTTGGGGACTAACCCTGGCATCGGCCCAAATCAAAGATCCTGTTGTTGACTCCAAGTTCAGCATCTTTTTCTTCTCTTCAACAGGAGATACTTCCATTGTCAAACCTCCTGGACTCTCGTGTGAAGTTAGGCAGCTTTCAGTAGAACCATCAGCCCTCTGAGAATGCAGACCAGATGGCATTTCTTCATCTTGGCCGCATCCATTGACCACCTCAGCAGATTGGGAGGAGTAAAATCCAAGTGGATCAAAAGAATAATTTCTCAGCATCTTACTACTAAATTCCAGGTTATCTGCTTCAGTAACTGCACCACTTCCAATAAAATGATCAGCAAGCATCTTACAAGCTCTCTCAAGCATGGCCATATATTTTCGTTCTGCATCCTGGCGAATCTGCAAGTGCTTTTCGGCCTATACAAGACAATATAATAACATAAGCCAGCTTGAGAATGGACTTGACACTCTGATCTGGAGGGTTTACTCAAAAATATTGAGTAGGGCTTTTCCAACTATCGATCAATTACCGTGTTAGCATAATGAGCCTCATAAAAAGTTTCTCCAGACAACAGTCACACGCTCAGAGAAAACTATAGAATTGCATGAAAACCTGTAAACATTCAACATTCTAGACACACTGCCCATTTTTTATATTTCATAGCTACATTCACAAAAGAGAAAAGTACTACAGGAGGTAGAAAATTACCTCAACTTGCAAATGTAATTTACTCTGTACTTCCATCTGTGCCCTTAATGCCTCCCTCACCTCATAGCCCCTGCGTATAAAATTCATTTCCTCCCAGAACTAAGCTTAAGATTTGAAATCCTAGCAATGAAACTGAAAGAAGAATCATAATTTTCAGACAAAAGACGAAAATTCTCACTCATTCATGTCAGAAGTTGGCAAGTTTAGGGTAGAATTATTGGTTCCAGGGCTTTCTAAAAGATATGAAGCTGATATCCCTTCATGAAAATTAGAAAAGAAAATTCAGATCTAAAATTTTAAGTACTTATCACATGATTACCTTATAAATTATTACCCGAATACACATCCATCCAATTTAAATCAGTCACCAAAACATTTTAGTACACTTGAAAATCTGAAAGAGAGAAATTAAATCATTTTGTAAAAGAAACTTCTAATTAAAAATTCAAGTTAGCCAAATTCATTCATAGTAGGACAGAAAATATATAATAAGAAAGAAAATTAGTTAGAGCAGAACCTACCATCTTTTGGTCCCTCACCCATATCCTTCCCTGATTGCTTACCTAATCTGTATTTCTGCAACAAAGTGAAAACACCATAGGATAATATTAATAAGAGAATCATTTCCAAGACAAATCTCTGGGTTTGTAATTTTTTTGATAAGGTAAAGATTGACAAGAATGAAGAAACCTGGAGGTGACTCTTTAAATGAAAAAGAGTTAGTCCTTTCACATTCATTGTCCGCATGATAGCCTTTGGTGTAGCTTCTGCAGTAGTTATGCATAATCAGAAAAAATAATAGCAAGATGGAATAAAAGCTAAATTAATTTCAATTATGATCACCAAAAAAACAGACTAACATAAAAACATAGGCCAAAGTGGATACTAAAGAAGCGCAACAGTTTGCCACATATATAAACATGGAATATTCCAACAAGATAATGCATGCATGAAAATAATATGACAAGGACAACATACACATGCCAAACAAACATAAACATTGACTGACATTTCTTCGCCTCTGATTTGAGAAAAAAAAAGAAAAAGAAAAGTTACAGCCTTATTCAGGAAAAAAAAAGAAGACAGGGAATTAGGATTTGAATAGCTGAAACAATCAAGAAAATTAGAGATGCAGAAGGTAAGCCTGCTTATAGCACACCTAAAACCCCACACAAGCACAAATTTAAGATTTTTTTTATCTTTTTAAAAATAAGACAAGTATAGTATTTTATCCTTGACTATTCATTCAGTTTCTGTTTGATGCCTACGGGAAATTAAGAAACCATTTTCTGACAACCAAACAAAGACATATGTTACCTGTTGTACCCTTAACTCCCCGACCCTATTATTTTCCTAATTTTTATGTGTTGTAAGCCTAATTAGAGATCATTTTCCACCCATTAATTCTTCTCATAAACATATTTCTACTGGTAAAGAGCAAAATGTGCTCCTCTTCTCTCTGTTCTGCATTCATGAAGAGCAACATGTCTTTTTCTTCTGTCATCTACATATATAAAGTAACAATACACTGGTATCGGCCTGTAAAAAACCCATTATGGTACAAGAGTTAGACTTTATCAGTTTCAGGAGAAATATACCCATGTTGGCAGGCAAGATAGTGACATCCATGTGATGAACTATCCTGCTTTAAAACACTGGCATAACTGACAGATTGGTGGTAATATTGGAAGAGTTATTGTTATTATTATTCTAGAAATTACTATTTTAATTAGGGACCTTATAAGAAATATTGCACAACTTAAAATTCATCAGCTTCCTAATCCTAATTGCTCCTCAAAAGAGCAAAATACTAAAAGCAGAACAAAATTTTGGCAAACATTAAGCAGGAGCCATACCAAAGGAGCCAACATCCTGAACAAACTCCCACCAGTGGCGAGAATCTTGGATCTTATAAAGAAGGTGAAGTAATAAAATGCCTGTCCAAGCTAATAAGGTTAAGTTTTACAGTGTGGTTGGGTTATAAAATTGTGGTTTGGATCGCAACCAAAATGCCAAACAAATTCAGGTTTTAGCCCAAATTAAGTTTGCTCTGAAAAAGTAGTCTTTTTAATACAAACCACAATTTTTCTTTAAACCATCATTTTGCGACCCAACCACAATGGTAAATTAAGTTTTTACGTCAGCTTCAAAGTCAATTAGCCTACAAGCCTTGAGAGAAAACACAAGTAGTAGCTAGCGGTAATCCAATCTCTCAGGCCTGTTAGGAGTTGTTATTTTCACAGATGTCGTGCATTATGAAAACAGCTAGCCACCTGTGCCTCTAGCCTTCTAGCACCACCACAATCACAATTCACAATCAAGAAGAGAAATCATGCTGATGCGGTTGGGTCTAGACTCATAGCAGCACGAAAGCAGTCACAACTGACAAAACAAGAAAAAGAAAAACTCGCTCATCAAGTCTTGTCCTTGTAAAAGTTGGCTCATTGGTTAAAAGCATAGGGTAGGGCATGTCCCAAAGTTAAATTTAGATTTTAGAATCTAGTTCGTATCCAACATAGGTGATAAGGAAATACTTTGGAAAAGGTAAGCAGGTAACAGGATACTAAGCACACTGAAGTGGGTAGATTTCAGAAAGAGCGAAAAAGAGAAACAAGAGACTTGTATTATTCCTATTTCTTAATATTGCATCAAGCAGCAAATAAAAATGGTGCGAAATGTAAAATTGGAGCGAGTAAGAAATATAATAAAGCAAATTGAAAATATAAAAATATAAATAAAAGGGAACCTAAAATGTTGATGAACAAAAACCCAAAAAGAAATAGTTAACATTTTTAAAGAAGAGAAGGGTATGGAAAATCCTACTATTGGGGCCGCCAAGTTGAGTGACAGCATCGACGAATCGATCGTGGAGGTCAGCAGTCCAACGGAGACGAGGCTTGGGATCAGAAGTCAAGACGAGGCAAGGCTCTCCTAGACCTCCTTTGTGATTGAGATTATTAAGCATTTCTTCCTGATGATGATGATGATGATGATGATGGGCTTGGAGCCTTGGATGATACATATCCATTCTCTTCTTCCTTTTTACTCTAACAAGTTTGACATTCCTATCGCCCACCAAATCCACCGATTTCGCTATTTCCCAACAAAAAAGAAGAAACTACTTTGCCTCCTGCTGTGCTATGCCTCTCTGCCCACGGATGAATGTAAGCCGTCAGAGCGAAAGGAAAACAAAGGCATCAAGGAATGAAACCAAATGGTTAAAAACAAGCCCAACCAACTCGCTGGGCGCTGTCTGCTGCTCCCACCGTCCCAAGCCCTTCACAATTTATCCATTATCAACTCTCTACTGGTCTTGTTTTGTATTTTTGGGGTATAGTTCTACTATTCCTACATGAATATTTAACACGACTAAATTTCCATTCTTCGGCATTTATTAAGAGGGTATTTGTTTCAAGAAATTTTAAATTTTTAAGAAAATATGATATTTGAATTTTTTTTTTTATTTTGAGGGTATTTTATGTTTAGATTTTTTTGTTTGGTTGAAGAAAATTCATTAATATTAATTTTTGAATAATTATTATAATTTTTTAATATATATGATGATAATTTTTTTATTAATTTTTATTAATAATAAATATACAAATAATAAATGATGCTTTTAACAAAAAAATAAATATTTTATTTGATTATTATTTTATTTATAAAATATCATCAATAAAAAAATATTATAAATTATTTAAGGTGTTTGGTTGAAAAACGTTTTAAATAGTCTATTTTATTTTTTAAAAAAAATTATTTAAGTTTTTTTTATCTAAAAATGTCTTAAATAAATGTCATTTTAAAAAATATGAGAAAATTATTTAAAGTTTTTTTGTCTAAAAATGTTTTAAATAATCTTTAATATTTTTTTAAAATAGATTATTAACCAAAATCATATTAAATAAGCTTCTTTAAAATGTATAAAGAGATTATTTAAAAAGTTTTTTAATCCAAAAATGTTTTAAATAATATCTTTTAAAATAATATGAAAAAATTATTTAAGACGTTTTTTGTCCAAAAATATATTAAATAATTCCCTTTAAAATGTATCAAAGGATTATTTAAAGCATTTTTGTCAAAAAAACATATTAAATAATCTTTTAAAATTTTTAAAAAGTATTATTTAAAGCATTTTTTGTCAAAAATATCTTAAATAATTTCTTTCATTACTTATAAGATTTAAGAGATAAAATATAAAAAAATTAGAGTAACTTAATCGGTTAAAGTATATGGTTATTTACCATAAATTCATAAGTTCAACTTTTGCCTATAGTGTTTTAATGTTTTTTAAAAGGGATTATTTAACATTTTTTTGGTCTATAAATACCTTAACTAATCACTTAAAATTTTTTAAAGAGTATTATTTAAGGTATTTTTTATTAAAAGACTTTAAATATTTTCTTTCATTACTTATAAGATTTAAGTGATAAAATATAAATAAATTTGAATAATTCAATTAATTAGAGCATATATATTTTGAAAATGATTATTTAAAAACTTTTTTGCTAGAAATACCTTAAATAATCCCTTAAAATTTTTTGAAAAAGTATTATTTAAGGTATTTTTTATTAAAATACCTTAAATAATCACTTTCATTACTTATAAGATTTAAGAGATAAAATATAAATAAATTAAAATAGTTTAGTTAATTAGAGTATATGGTTATTAACCATAAAGTCATAAGTTTGACATTTCCTTTAACGTTTTATTTTTTGGGGATTATTTTATCCAATTCAATTTTTTGTAGTAAAAAAAAATTGAACAAAATTATTCATAGCATTTTTTATGGTAAATGTTACTAATTGCAATATAAAAAAAATTTAGCATAAAAAATCTACAATTGACTTGCAGTCATTTTCAAATATACTTTTTAAAATAGTAACAATTATTTCATAATTTTTTATTTAAGTCAATTTTGAAATATCGTAACTTTTTCTCTCAAAATTCTGAAATATCATAAAGAGATGTGGGTTTCTAATTTCAATATTTTGTGTACTGTTGAGAATTTATCACTTTTACTCGAAATTGAATTGCATTAAACCAAACATTGAAATTAAATACAAACCAGTAAGATTCCAAAAGAAAATGCATAGATTCCCTCAAATCAAATGCGCCTTAAATATTTTGTTGTGATTTTTTTTTCATAAATTACATAGAAAAAACTCTAAAAAATATGGTTTTGAGAATATACAAAACCAAAGTTCACTTAATTAATTAATTTACTATATTAAATACAAATTTATCATTCTACTTAAATTTATCATTGATCTTTTAATTGTTTCAATCTTACCATCATATATTTTAATTTTGAAGCAAATTTATCACTATACATCTAATTTTGATATAAATTTGATCAAGATATGATACTTGGAAAATATTTTGTAAAATATTTCATTATAATTTTTTATAATTTAAAAATAATTTTGAAAATGACATGGTAGATAAAAAACAATTATGAAATTAAAATTTGAATTTATTTTATTTTATTTCTTCTTTCATTTGATCTCTAAATTGTTTTATTTTATTTTATTTATTCTACATGACATTTTCTACTAAATATAATATCACATCATATTTTTTAATTAGCCTTGGCCTTTTTTCCCTACCATGTCATTTTCAAGGGTTTATTATTATTATTAAACAGCTTCTAAAATATTTATATAAAAAAAAACTAAACAGCTTATACAAAATATTTTATGAAATATTTTGCAATTAAATCTTGAGCAAATTTATTTCAAAATTAAAACTATAATGGTAAGTTTACTCCAAGATTCATTAAAAAAAAATTAATGAAATTTAGACTACACAATACCAATACAATCCTATCCCAAAAATCTTTGTTTTTCACCCTTTGCCTTCTTCTTCCATGTCTCTTTTGCTTTCCTATTCAAAACGATATGCTTTAACCTTTCGTATGCTTTTTCCTTAAGAAAGCACCACATCTTCTACAAAATAATAAACACCCGTTAACCAAATTAATGTTGGCTAACTTAAAAGAGATAAGTAATTTTTTGTTACATAATCATCCTCAAAAAAGTGAAGCATGAATTTATGATTTAAGGCATGTTTCAAATATAAAAATGATGAATATGATAAGATATTTTTTTATTTTATATTTGATGTGTATTTAAAAAACTAAATTGAATTGTAATAATATTAATTATTTTAATAATTTAATCATTTTAAAATAAAAAATATATTTTTAATCTATAAAATTTAATATCCATTCCTATTATTTAGCTTAAAAGCAACATATATAAGCCATTAGGAAGATGATATCTGTCATTCAATAATTGATTAAAAATGTGTGGAGATTTATTTATTTATTTGCCAATAAGTGGAGAATTCCAAGACCAAGCTGTTACTCCGTGAGGCCGTGAGGTGATATGCAAATGGCTACGGTCCCATCCCATCAAGCTTTTTTTTTTTTTTGTCGGCAGTAGAAGTTGTATTGTATATTTCTGTATGATAACACCCCTCTCCTCTCCTCCCCCCCCCCCCCCCCGGCGGTGGGGAAAAGGAAAATTCTCGTCTAACCATTAACCACGCAATCATAAAATTAATGTTGTGTAATTGCAAAACAAGCCCAAATCTAGATTAGTTTTGAATGGTTTCATAAAAATACTGAATACACCACTATGTCCTTCTTCAGGCCTCATAGCAGAAAAAAAAAAACAAAAACCAAATTACTAATAAAACCAGAGTTAGTAAAAATCTTCCAAAGTAAAATATCTAGTAGAGACGATAAAGATTTCGCAAAGTTTAATCAAGTCAGCATTGACGGTGGCCAGCAGTGAAAAGTGGGCGCCTCTGCCTTGGATCTCATTCTGGCAATCTTTAGTAGCATAAGCGGCACTACTCATCTCTTCCACCATGGTGTCCAGTGAGTCAGAGTTGAAGTCATTGTTAGCCGATGAAAGCTCAGATATGGCCTTCTTGTTGACACTTTGACATATTTGGAGGCGATTGCGGTCCACAAAGGTGGTGGCATTCTTAAGAAGGAGGACTGTGAGGGATTGGGCGTCGCTGGCCTTGGTTTGAGCAAATCGTAAAGCAGCGTTTGCAAGGTCACCGGCAAGGGCCTGCGGACTACCCGCATTTGGGTCTGCATTTAAAGTCGCAACACAGAATGCGTAGTTAGACGTATGGTTGCACACCTCCTTTAGAAGCTCCGCGCCATTTAAGAATCCCATGGAGGGATGGATGATGATGAACAAGACGAGAAGGCAGAGGTGAGCGGGACTGGGAGGATGATACCTTGCCATGTCTTTTTTCAGATAATGATTTGGTCTGCAATATGCAAAGTTAAAACACTTATTATATGTGGGGCTAATCGGGCTTCAAACTCTACTGTAACCCCCCATACAAAAAATGGCTGGCTTGGAGTCCTGGAAGTAATAGTACCCGGAGCCCCAGTCCCACTGCTCACCATCAGCCCCTTGTTATTCCCATTAGAGATAGGTGGAAAATAGAAATGGATACTAATTTCTAAAGTTAAAAGTGGGCTATCTCAACCACCATACCACATGACATGGGTCAGTGGCTACCGCTACCGTTTATTTAATTAATTATTACTTTGAATGAAGGAACCTAACGTGAGCTGAGCTCACGACTGACGAACGAAACAACATCCAGTAACCACAATTACCATTTTATCATACAATACAAAACAGCTTAAGTCAAAATTTTCTGATGATGCATCCCCTACAGCCCTTGTTAACAATGTGAAAAATTTACAACCAGTATTTTTTTTTTTAAATATACTACTAATACTATCATTCTATTCTGTTGTCATGGGCTGAACCAACTGCTCCCATGTGAAAGCGAGAAACACGTGCACATATTCACGTTCCTATCTATCAACTCGGCTTGGGACAGGACTCCAAATCTCAGCAAGAACAACTCCCTTACCTTCCTGACTTCCTATCTAGGCTGCATTTGAGGACCATTGCATCAGATGACATATTCTAACATTACAATGACAAAAAAAAAAAAAAAAAAGAAGCAGCGGCAGCAGCTAGATTACCAATCAGATACAAATACACCTTCATTTCCACATACCTAGCTAAAACTAGCCACATCAACGTCACTCGTAACACAATGTGGCAAGAACCAAAATATCGAAAACAAAATTGACAATGTATACAAGAATGAATTCAACCCGATACCTCGGAATAGAATAATCTACAAAGTGATGAAGACTTGTCAAGATGAATAGCCAACATAGATCACCACGAAACTTTAACATAAGGGTATCCCATGACGGCTTTCTACCTATTGATGTTGCAATCTCGCAAATACATAAGATCATAATCTACATACTTTGCCCAGTAGTTTTTATACTTAGCTATGCCTATCTCCAGCCATGGTTTCAAGTTGCCATTATAGTGTATAACAGCAGCTCGTTCAATCTCCCTCTGGTTGACGTTAGGATTGTAGCCCAGCCCAAGCACATGCCAAGATCTGTCAAGTGGATAAGTGTGTTTCCAAAATGTTATGAGACCAGGAGGCAAGGTCCCTAACTTCCACAATTGCCTGTCATGATTCTGCACATAAAATTTCCTTCAAAACAAAATCAAGATAATACACCAGCATAATACCACAAACTCTTTTAAGTATAGGATATGTCCACAATGAAATAAAAAATACTGAATTAAAACTACCAACCTAGTTTCTAGCATTTATGATGGCACTCAGGAAAGAGTTAAATCATATTCATGACACTGGGTGAGAGAAATAGTCACACAAGCTTCCACTTAATAAGGGTAAATTAGATGATCTCTAATTAAGGCTAGCAATGTGAACAAAATAAATTAACCTGGTCTCTAAGGAACTTTCATGCCTATTTTACTTTCTGTTCAGCCAGGATTTATGCATCACTTACCAGCTTCTGCCATCTGTGATATACCTCCGTGATATTTTGCCGCCTCCACTCCTCCAAATCAAAAATATTCATTCCATATGCCCATCCACAAGCATGTGGGTCGAAATTCTTTGAGATTAGAGGATTTGAGAAGTTGAGATATCGATCAAACCGATGGAAGCTTTCTCCACAAGTCTCAACAGCACCATTGACATTGCCCTTCAAATCGAGGGACCACAGACCACTAAGGTCCTTTTGGACTACAATATCATCATCTAGGAACAACACTTTATTGAGTTTTGGGAAGATCTCTGGCAGGTAGAAGCGAAGATGGTTCAGAATGGACAAATATTTTGGGTTCCGGAACTTCAGATTTGAATCAGAATTAGCACGATGTGCCCTGAAGTAATAATCAATCATGGAAGGAGAACCTAACTGCTGAAGGACTGGACTGTAGCTAGAGTTAAACCATGTAAATTCTTCAAAGTTCTGGACCTGTATAGTGGCTTTCCCAGGTGGATTACCAAGAAACCACATCCTCATTGCCGCATAATTAAGCCTATCTGTGACAATGTGGAAAACATGATTTGAAGGGTGCTGCAAGGAATTAAGTGAATTTGATGAGTTCAACATTTCAACAAATTGCAGAGGGCTCAAATGTCATTATGTACATATCAAGTTGTTTTATACACAGACATGCACACACATATGTTCCAAAATTACTTCCCAAAAAGATGGGTAAAAAGTTAAAAATGAAATGGTAATGGCTATCTTAAGATTAAAGTGATAAACCATTTCTCTTTCTACTGGCAACCAAAGGAAGTATGAGTTAAGTCTCTATACAAGAGTACATTTACCTTAGCATGGGAGACAGTTGAGTTTACAACAACTGCTGCTGCTAATATATTATCTGAGAAAAGTGCATAATGGTACAGCCAGGGGTCTTCTAATTTATCTTGATTTAGAAAGTTCTTTTGTGAAGAATTCAAGGAATAATACTCAGTAGCAAGACGCAAAGGCAGGCAATGAAGACCCTTGGAAAGCGTTTTTGCAGTTAATTGTGTCAAGAACATGGCCTGGTTTTTGTGCACTCGAAGTTGCTCTTCAGTTGAGTGGAGCATAGCTTGAAGCTTCTTTACCATAGCAGCACAGTCATCTTGAATCTGCTTACCTTTTTCTAATGATTGCTCCATTGCTTTCAACTTATCAAAGGTACTGCAATAAGGTGCATGTTAACAAATTAAAGCAATGTAGAAACCGCATTCTTTACTTAAAATCCCACATAAACTTAAGTGACTGAAAATGAAAAAAAAAAAAAAGCAACACATATCAGACAGAATTTGACAAATGAAAATAAATCAAGAATTTTTAATAAAGAGCAGTGATCCTATGTTCAGACAGAAGAGTTACTTTTTTGGCAGATCAGTGTCCTTGGCTGCATCACCAAGAGCACGTGAAACTTCCTTAATCCGCAGTCGAAGCTCCCTTGTAACATGTGGGTTGTTTTTGATGGCTGGAAGGGAGAGGTAAACTTTTGCACGGATGAGCTGGTCTTTGACGTGACGTACCCAAGCATCTGTTGGTTCAGTCAGTCTGTCAGATTTGTTATCTGAATGCTCTTTCTGATCAATCTTGCTGGAGGGTTGAGTTGGTTGTTGCTCAGGCTTTATAGACTATTGATAGAGCAAACAGGGTAAAACAACCGTTAACTAAGTCCAAATTTAGGTTTAAAGTTTCTTTTTATAGTGAAATCTGGAAATGTAGTACCATTAAGAAACTGGTTTTAGCTGGTTTTATAGAGAAGCATTAGTTTGGACATGCAAAGCAATTTCAGGGAAGACAAAAATAGTACAAAACGCCAACCTTGAAAGGGTTAGCGAACAACATCTCTTCCAGGTTAAAGTTTACATGAACTTTATGAAAGGAATATTTTGTTTAGATATGCAATTAAAAATTGAAAGAAACGGTTTAACATCAAGACATGGAAACAGAAATGATAGGTAGAAGTAGAAGATTAGGGATATAATCGCATCTCCCTATTGCTGACAACTGAAGCTCCAAAGGTTTAGAATGTATAGAAGAGGACAATTCGCATTTCCATTGTAGCAAAACAGTATCAAAATCCTTACAAGATGAGAGGCAAGTAACCAGGGAAGTAGGTTATGGTAAAACTAAAAGAAAGAGGAACATTCAGAAATCAAAATCAACAGAAACGGGGATGACAAGTAAAATGCTATAGCAATATGAGAAAAAGAAAAAATTAGCCGATTTAAAGTTGTTGAAATAAAAATGACAGCATGCTCTGGACATGTTTAGAAAATGAAGAAATGAAATGAAATACTAAAAAGAAAAAAAAAAAAAAAGGGAAGAAATTACCAAAAGGTGAGATGCATTGGGATGGGAATCGAGGGTAGTGGTGAGATTGGCAGAAACAGGATCTGTGACCTGTTTAATGGGGTCGGGTAATTGGGGTTGACGTTCTTCATTTGTAGCAGAAAGCAGTCGTGTAGATTTATGCTCCCTCGTCTCTGTCATTAGGAAATCTAATACCATCAATTCACATTCCCAATGCGCAAATTAAAAGTAGATAAAATTTTCTTTGAAGTTATTTACCGTTGGAAAAGGAATGGGTAAAGCGGTCAGAATAGACGATTCCAATGGGCTCTTCCAGGGTGGTGGAAGTTTCCTATGCCAAAATTACAGATTGAAGGCGTTAGATCTGAAACCAATCAATATAATGCCTGCCCTGGACAACAAACGGAACTAATCTACTACCTGGGGAAGAACATTCAGATGTCTGGTATCGCCGGACAGCGACTGCAGTAAAAAAAAAAAATAAAATAAAAAATAAAAAATAAAAAATAAAGAAAGAAAAATTTTTGTGGTGCACATTATTATTATTATGATTATTATTTATTATTATTATTATTATTATTATTATTATTGTGAACGCAAGGAAAGAACAAAGAAAGAAACTTACGATAGCTGCAACATCATCAAGAAAATCGCGTCTTGCTGCAGAAATTACCATTAAAAATTCAAAAAGAAAGAAAGAAAGAAAGATCAGCGTCGAAGAAGGGAAAAAGGAAAATGTAGAAGAAGAGTAATAGAAATAGACATACAAGAAGAGGGGTTGAAGAAGGCGCCGACCCTATCAGTATATAGAAAGATGGGAGCAACGACGGAAATCGACAACAAACCCAACACTACATGCCTCACCTTCATCTTTTTCCCTTTCTATTTTTACAAAAATTTTCCAATTTCTTTACCACAACAATAACAACCAAGAAAAGAAAATACCCTCTTTCTGGAATTTGTTAGCAAATGAGAAAAGTGAAAAAGTATAACAGGATGAGAGCGATGAGTATAAGAAGAAGGATTCTATTTCTAGTTCGGTTCTAGTTCTAGTTCTAGATGAGATGAGATAATGATGTTGTGTGCGTGTGAGAGAGAGAGAGAGAGAGAGAGACAAATGCTTTTTTTTTTTTTTTTCAATTATATTACCTATATATTTTTTTCTCTTTTCCCATTTAAGGAGTAGCAGTAATATTTTAAATTCGTCAATGGTCAATTATAGCTGTGGGCTGTTGGCGGTTGTTCTTTTCAAAAATGGTTATATATTTATGTTAAAGTTAAACCACTACACAGTACAGAGACAAACATTCTATATTTTGGTTCATTTTAATGGTTAATTTGGGCCGCTACGGCAGTCCAAACTCCATAATCTTTTTGTGGCAATGGGATTCAAAATTCTCACGCTTCGTTTGTTTCTCTGTATTGCTGCGTACCATTGAGTTATGTCATGGGTACATGACTGTATCTGTACGTGGCATTGAAAAAACCCAAAGTGTCGGCAGACTGAATGTATATCCATCCATTTTAGATTTTCAGTATTTCCCTCCCCAGTCCTCACTTTTCAGTCAGTTACGCCTTATCAGGCCAGTTACCGCTCCCTCAGTCTCGGAGTAGAAGTTTGAAAGCTTCTTCTATGGTCTCCCTCCCGTATCTCACCCAAACTGCCACCCACTCAATCCTCCTTCAAACTTCAATCATCTCATCACTACCATAGATTAGTTCTTACATATAACCTGTCCAACAGGAACCGCCTCCCAATCCACTTCTGCTAAATCATCAACCTCTTTATTTTTTATTTATTTCACATTTTCCACACTAAGCAGGAGGTAGGAATCCTTTGAAGGAGCACACCTCAGTCGTCGCAAAAGAGAAGAATCCTAAGAACATCAAGAACTTTAACTACTTCAAACGAATTGAAACCATACAACTGAATTTATGATATAATCCCAATGGAAGTTCCTACATTTTTATACAAAACCAAATGTTCAAACAAATTTGCACAAAATATTAAGACAATGAGGGCAGGAGGCAATAATCATTTACTTACAGCTCAACACACTGTTTATGACAAACATAAGAACACGGATGCTGGCAGATTCTGATGCAGATGTACTACTGGGCAAGCTTTGCAGATAATGATCCACTATCTGACACACCTGCCTAAAGATGGGTAGCACATGCACGGCAATCATTGGATCGGAGGGGTTTATGGCAACAGCTACATCAGTCATCCATGCCAGCTTTCTAGATGTTTCCTTATTGATATCACAAGCCAGTTGCTGGAAAAGAGCCAGCAAAACTCCTTGGCTCAGTGGGCATGGTTTCATTGACAAAATCCCTTGTAGATCCACCTGGTGAATTAACAGCAAAGTGAGGTTTGAAAGTAGAGGTTTCTGTTATGTGCATCATGGCTTCTGGAAAGTAATGCCATCACTAATTAGAGTAAAAGGAGTATACAAAATTCGAGATCCTTCAGCTATTCATATTGCTGAGGAGAACAATGGAATTGCCATGTTATCCAATCACTTCAAATACACAAATATATACAATTAGCACCGTCCCTTTCCTGGCTGGAACCACCAATCATGCATATTTTATTCAGTCATCAATCTCAAAGCCTTAGAAAGTAAATGCATTGTATGCTGGACTATTCTAAGGCAACCGGTGGTTAGAAATACTACCACTGCATCAAACCATAAACCAGGGCCCCTGATGCACAAAATTTTTCTATAGTCAAACAATACTTACAAATTGTATGGTCACATATGTTATTAGTGACGTGCAATAACAGTATGATTATTCAGTGGTCCATAAAAGCAGAAGCAGAACTTACCTGAGAACACAACCAGGAAACTATCGAGACATCACTTCTGTGCAAGGCTGCAGTGAACGCTTCATCATATTTCTGCTCAGCTATCATTCTTGCGAGTTCTTTTGTTGGATCCACTTGTGCCTCAGGCTGCTACACAGATATTAACACTCTCAGACTGCGGCAAATAAACATGAATGCCTCACAAGTTGCAAATACAGTGACATTCAGATTTACTGTAGTTATAAGACAATACATTAGTATCTGCCTCAAAGATTTTCTTCTTTTTCTACTTCCGGGCACCGGGGAGAAGGAGAAAGAGAGAGCAAACATACCATCTCTAGCAGATGAGCTAATGGTCCATTACTCAACTCTGTCACCAAGGGATTTCCTGCCTTCGAGTTGGCACCTGCAGCTGCTATAGCTAGAAGTTTACATTGCCCATCAGCCAATTCTCCACTTATGGTCTGTGTGATTGAAGTTGCTGAATTAATAGCATCCTGCAAGCATAAAGCACGCCATTTTAAAAGATTAGTTGTACAAGCAAAGTATATCATACAGGCAAAACTTGAATGTAAAAAGCTGCTTTTGTACAGTTTCATCCTATCACACATCACACTATATCCATATATAATCATCCATTAGTGAAGTTCTTAGCAACGGTGAAGTCTATCCTACCGCATACCACTCTGCATAAATATAAAAGGCCATCCTTCTATGGTTCAACCCTAAATATGGCAGTAAAAAGTACCAAGTTATAACACTATATTCCTATTAATCTTCCTTTCAAACACAAATCCTACTATAGGGCATAAAGATCTACCTTCAGAATTTATCTTGGTGGCATTGAAACTGGCAACAGTATTTAGCACAAAATGGTTGGGCAAAGGACACCTCAATTACTACATACAACTCATTATGCAACATCATTCAATCTATAGCTATAATTAAATAGTAAAATATACTACAGTTGCTCATCCTAGAACAGAGCGACTATAACCCAGGATCTTTTCAATAAAATGAAAAGAATATTCAATTAAATTTGTTGGTAGTTCATACTAATAAGAAGGGCAACATTTACCATTTTTAACACATTAAAGTGGGAATTAAGTTAAGATCAGAGAAACCACAGAGGTTACTGTCACTAATCTACCATACCCTTAGAGTAACAGCAAGGGAAGAATGTGCATTCTCAAACTGCTGCTGAGCAGCAGTTGTATGTTTTATCAGCCCTTTCTGAAATGTGACATCAATTTGCTCAAACATTGATTTGCATGAGATCTCAAATGCAGGAATAATGGAAGATTCCAAGCTAGACCTCAGTGCATCCTGCAAGGACAAATCCAGCATTTTCTAATCAGCACAATGATGTTACATAAGTTCCAATTAAAAGATTTATGAACGTTCATTCCAACTAAAAGAAAAAATTCAGCAGAGTAAAAAATGAAACAGAAAAAGTTGTCACCGGAGAGGATGACCTAAAGGCAAATTTGACAGTGAGAATGAATTTATTGGTACCAAGTAAAATAGAAAGAAATAACTAGAGATTTTGGCACAGTGTTTGGACATTCACCTGACTGTTTCTAAAGCCAAAAAAGATATCCTTCTTAGTAAGGAGACATTAGGCAGGGTATATACTTACCCCCACTCTACATAATCAACTTTAAATCCTAAAGAGGATATCATCTGCTTTTTAGCACGGTAAGCTCAAACACATGTATCCACATAAAAAAGGGGGCAGATAATGGAGATAAGCCTTAACTTGAAAAAATAGGAACAAGAATTTCATACAGAAGGAAATTTAGAGTTAGGTGAAGGAAGAAAGACCCTTTGTCAAAGAAGAATACTCTCACCACTATGAATGCTAATATCAATAACCTATCATCTAAAAATAAAGCATCCTTTCATTGTCAAGCTCCAAATGAGGGAAAAAGAAACCAACGAGAAGGTTCAGTAAAAGAAAAACAGCAGCCAATATAACTACAGTAAAAGAGAGGATACATGAACAAGAAATCACCTGAAGTGCTTGCTTTCCAGAAGTTTGAAATTGTGCTTGGATTTGCCTGGCCACTGTAGCTTCGAGTTTTGAACTGACTGACTTCTCTAGTTGATTCACTGCCCTCTCTCCTACTCCTTTCTGCAAAATACCAAATTAAACCCCCATTGAGAGTATATCAACCACCTGTTTCAGTGGAACATGGAAATTGTATACCGTGGTGTACTACATTTAGAGTAGCGAATTCACCATACAGAATGAAGCTGATAGATGTAAGAAAGCTACCACAGCAGCAAATAGTGTAGAAACATTTGAGGCTTTACTAAATTATACCCAGAAACAAGGAAAAAGATAGGAGAGGATGGAAGGAGATCATTACAGCATATTTTCCATAATAAGACAAGGGTCCCATTAACACCTATGGCACATTTTAAGATTAGTTATATTACTATTTTAGGCTTTTTTTTTTAATTTAATGTAGTAGTTTCATCAAATTCAAGAGAAGACAACACATCAAATACAAAATTTTTCTATAAAGAAAATATCACCATAACCAGTGCTTGACACTGGTTAACATTTCCCGTAAGACAAAATTGCAGCATTTCCAGTTATGGCTTCATTCATAATGGTGCATCTGTCCATATAAATGAACGCTTCACTCAAATGGGACACCAAGCAATTTGAGATGTCAAAACAATTTAGCTCTTTTACCTGGAATGACTCTGTAATAGCAGAAGATATGCTTTTTTCCAGAGTGGGAGTAATAGCACGAGCTAGAAGAGGGCCAACTGTGGCTATTTCCTTCTTTAAGGATTTCTCAAACATGGCTGGCAAGTCCTTATTCATACAGTTGGTGATCAAATTTGTTATCTGCTGCATGTGGTCTCTTTCTAACTTCTCATGTTTTGCATTCTCATCTTGAAAACGAGCCCATAAAGCATCTGTGTTGGCCTTTATAACCATCTCAATGCTCTTGCCCAAGGATGCCTCCAGTCTCTTTCCTTCTTTGTTAACTGGAGCAGAGACAATTGAATTCATCTGCTTCTGCATTTCCTTTTGCATGCTGACTAACTGCTTGACATAAAGAAGATGATATCAGAAAATTTAACAGAGACAGACACATTTCTACAAAGAGGAGATTCTTTTATTTAAAAAAAAAAAAAAAAACGAAGCATTGTTACTTCAGAAAATTTTTATTTATTTTTAGAAGCAGTACCTGCTCAAGCACATCCTGCATAGCCAGCAAATGGGGAAAAACAGCATCAGCTGACATTGTCCCAGAACTACAACCTGGTTCATTAGATGAATCTGTGGAATTATAGGGGCTCGCTGAAGGTGAAAATGGGCCAGATACTTGAGAATTTTTCCCCCTCTGCTTTTTCCCTTTAGCAGAAGCTAGAGATGGTGAAACAGTGTTGGCAGTGTCTGATTCACCAACCTTTGGAGGGAAATTTTTCATCACATTCTGGTCTTCCCCATCACCAGCATTAGTAGGTCTGTCTTGTCCTGCAACACCAACATCAATAGCTTGTTGAGCCCCCTCAATATAATAATTTTCTGCACAAAAATCTCTGGCCATCTGAAGGCCAAGGTCTGATGCCTGAGAGTAGAAGGCCTTTTCTTTGTTATCTGAAACAGTAGTATGAGAGTCTTGTGGACATTCAGTTTGACTAGTTTGACCAAATTTTGTATCACCAACAACTTCAACTTCTACCTCCACACTTTCAGCATCATTCTTGACAACCACATCTTGGACTGTTGCCTTGCCTACATTAATATCCTGACTAATCTGTGCATTTTGTGAAGATGAATCCACAATAGATAATATCTCTGATGGTGTTACCAGATGAGTTGGATGCTTGAACACTGCAGGAGGATCAGGAATCATTGAAATGTCATTTTGGGCAATATCTTCATCTTTCTGCAAGTTGTCACCTGAGGAGGGGATATCAACCTTATTCTCTTTGATAGCATCTTCTCTATGGTCAACAGAATGATCATGTGCTGAGTGGTTGCCAGGATGATCTGCACTTGATTGACTTCTAAAACCAGATGGCTTTTGTGAGAACCTTGGACTTAATGGAAGCGAAGGTGATGCATTTTGCATTTTTTCGGCACTACTATGAAAAGGCAAAGCACTTGGTTTACTTTCCATTGCTGACACAGCACTCTCAGATATGGAGGTAACCTCAGAAGAAGGCAATTTTTGCGGACGGCTTGCCATGGCGGCACTTTCAGAGCTGCTGGAGTGTATAAGTGACATTGGAATTGAGGAGCTTAGAGTCACCTCAGTTGGTTTAAATCCATGCGATAATTCCAGAGAGGCAGAACCATCAGAGTTCATGGCATCAAAAACGCAAGCAACATTGGAATCTGTTTTCTCCAACTCTATGTTTTCCAGGGTTGGTGGCAGGCATTGAGACAAGTCCAGAGCATATTGCTGAATAGCCTGTGTTTGAACACAGTAGACCTGCACAGTATGTTCTCCACCTGGTAAATTATCACTTGTTCCAGTGAGACTCAATATAGGCATTGTAACAGTGAACTCAGCTATGTAATCCAAGTGGGTTGCTGCTGGATTAAGCCCATAGTCTATGTGTACAGCATATATAGCATTCTTCTTGGCATTTGCAAGCAGAAGCAATCCTGCACGGGGCAGTGCCACAACTTGATTAAAGAATGCATCCTCAACCTTGGACTCTGCAGAACTCCTCAATTCCAATGTCTGGATACACTGCCATGACTCACCATCACTGGGCAACAACCAGCCCTCCTCACTTGCAGAGGCCCATATCTTCACTTCACAGTTTAGTGGGCCCTTTAAATAAAAACATAAATGCAAATTAGACATTTACATGATGAAAAGAGCTATATTAAGAAACGTAAACATAATCAATATGTATACCAATGTCCACTATCATGCCACATTACTAGGCCAAAAAAACAGAAGTGATATTCCGTCAACATCCCATAAGCTTAACATGATCTTAGAACAATATGTTCTATGAAAAACAAAAGAACAGAAGCCTACTCCAGTTATAAGAACAATGTGATCAGGGCGATGTGGGGCAGTCAAGAATGTTGCTGAGTTAACAGGATGACCATCATGTGGTCTCAACACTGCAAGTGGTAAGGCCTTACGATCTTCCCAAATTTTCACCTGTCACAAAAATTCAGGTTTCCATGAATATCAGTGCCAAAATGGAGAATGGATGGAGATCATTTACTCTGGATCTAAGTACCAAAGCCTAAAGGAAAAATTGATGCATAACCAAAATTTTAGTTTTCTGGGTCTTAGAAAAGTCATATATAACAATAATGCAGCAAGGGTGGTCGGGAATTTGATTTGCAGTATTCCACAGCAATCATAATTAATGGTTACAATCAGAAAACCATTTTTCCATGAAGATTAAATTTGGAGAACCGAAAACCCTTTTACATGCATTTAAATGGCCCAACATGCCCTGATGTACAGCCATCAATGCTAGTTGGCAATAAAACATTATCAGGGTTTTTTTTTTTGGCCTTCAAACATTACCAGGTTTACATGTTAACTTCTGCCATGATAGGAAGCATTTGAACTTCAAGGAGGAGTTCCATGTTCAGGATATTACAATCATTCAATTTTTTGCAGAAGCAGTTACAATAACAAGAACCTATAAAATAAAAAGGTAAATATGGAAAAAAAAATCAGTACAAACCATGCCATCTACTGATGCTGAAGCTAAACGGGTGGTCAACCATTGGCACATTGACAACTCAGTAATCTCAGCATCATGTTTACCAACAAATTGAACACCATCAATAAGCTTATCAACAGAGCAATTAAGAGGTTCATCGGCTGTAAACCCTTCCAATTTTCCTACTTTCATGGTATCAATTTTCAGGATACGATTTCCAATAGCAACCATCAAAATCTCCTGTTAGATAATAATTGTTGAACATTTACAAGAAGGAATAAAATATATAGCCAGAGAAAGCAAGACTATAGGAACAATATAAAGACAGGGGATAATAGTTTCTATTTGATAACATAAATTACAAACCCATTTATTACTTGTTTGTGAGGATGCCAGCAGACTCGTGGATGTATTAATTCTTCTTGTCCGACAATCTGAATGGCCAAAACAACTTTGCCAAAAATTTGTGGCTTATCTTCGTCATCAGGACCTTCATTGATCTTCCATACAAAAACCCGGCCATCAACACTTGCACTGCAGAAAATGAACGATGAGCATGTTCCGATAACAGTAAACGAGTAAAAAGAATGAAAAAGGAGTACCTGGCCAGAAGGTGGACATCCTCGGCAAAAAAAGCCATGTCTGTTACTCTCTACATTTGGAGAAAAAAAGTAATCGAGAAGGCTGAGCTGGTAATAAAATATTATTCTGTACAACTGCAAAGAAGAAACCTAAGTAGAAATAGAAGTACCTGAGTGTGGCCACGAAGCAAGGATCGGAGGGCGGTATTGATGTTGAGGATACGGATATTCCCAAGCTTGAGACCATAGCAAATATAATTCCTATTAACAGCAATCTGACGACCAAGAACAAGGCCAGGATCAGAAGCATACTTGGTAATGGGAGCGACCTCGAGTTGGGGCTGAACTTCACCCGGCAGCCTGACATGAATATCATAAAGGAGATTGGTGCCAAAAAGATGCCTGCCCTTGGGGACCTTGCTGCTCAACAGTCGGAGGGGAGAGGGAGAAGGGGCAGATGAGGTAACATTCATATTAAGAGGTGGGGCAGAAGGAAGAGGAGCAGGAGATTGCGATTGAGTTTGAGTAGGCGTGCCAAAAAAGGCCATCAAAAGGTCGTTTCCGGAAGTAGGAGTGGCAGGTGGGGAGGGCTGGGATTGGGCTTGATAAAGAAACGGTCGATTGATATTAAGTGGTGGCTGATGATGAAGAGGATGAGGATGCAAGGGTTGTTGGTGTTGAGGAGGATAGGGAAGGTAGTGAGGGTGGTGGAAAGGGTAGGGCCCAGTCGGAGGAGGATAAGACGAGGAAGGCGTCAGATAGGGAGGATGAGGTGTGGATGGTTGGGTTGGGAACGAAGGGGATGTGGTCAGGTTGTTGGTGTTAGGACTTGGACTTGGAGGAGTCGCTGTTAAGTTTATGTTTTGATGATGATGATGATGATGCAGCATAGGGCTGGAAGAGGGCTTGAACAGCTTGTTCATATCGAATCCTCCGCCTCCACCTCCACCTCCACCTCTACCGACAACCCCACCTTGTGGTTGTGGATCGGGAATCCCAGAGGAAGCCATCAAAATCCAAATACAATAATAAATACACTTCACTACTAGCCAATAACTATGATTATATATATTAAGGAAGCGGAGAGAGACTTGTTGAGAGCCTACGCGGAACACAGGGAATAGGAGGGTTTCATGGATCTGCTGCTTCAATTCAGATCAGAATCGAATTCTGATATATCCAATCTTAAGTATGTCTCTTCAAGTCTCCTCTCTGCGTGCATGTGACCCAGACTGGACGATGACTCAAAGACGCCAATGTCTTTTTTTTTTTCAAAGAAAATTTAGTTTTAGTTTTAGTTTTATCAGTATAGCAAGAGTAATTTATTAAACCATTTCGGGGCCGCTACACAGTCTGTAGCAGTGGTACACATCACATTCATCAAGTATAAAATTTCCTCTTAATCTGAAACTGAAAGCATTGAATTTGAACCAAAAAAAAAAAAACCCCTCCAACCATAACTACATATTTTTATAGACAACACTGTCCTACGAGTATTAGTATGTTTTTGTTAGGAGGATTAAGTGCTAGAGTTTGTGATCGTGTCTTCTCTTCGTCTCTGCCGGGCATCGGGTCTCGTAGCTCCACGCCCCCACTAAACCTGCTGCTTCTAATTTTGTTTCCTTGCATTTGCTTTTTCTCGTTCTTACTCCTTAACCCTTGGCTTGCTGAGCAACCAATTAACAGTAACGCCTCATCATTGCCTAACTGGTAAAAAGCTACCAGGTAGGAGAAACGAGCTTAGCAGCTTGATCGCAACACAATCCTTAATATCATTCCTGCATTCACCCGTCCTTTTACATTTATGAACTGCGAAAAGGCAAAAGCACTCTTCCCTTGTACTAAAACAAAAAATTCAAGAAACTTCCTACTTTCCTCACGCCTCACCCACACACCTGATCTCATTGCTTCAAGTTAACAAGTTCTACGTTTGCCACATAAAATATAATATCTCAAACATCTCTTACAAATGTTTGTATATAATTCCCATCAATGATTGCAACACAAAACCAAGCTCCACCATTCCATCTGCTACATCACACCACATTCCCGTCCTGAAAAATGTTCTAGATTCACCCATTTCATAAGCATATAAATATTAACCTTCTATTTGAAACAGACCTGACAAATACAAGCTTTTATGCAACTCATATTCAAATATCAATACAACATAAAAAAAATGAATCAACTCCCCATATTTTCACAATTTCTCTTTACCATAGTTAACCACAAATGAAACAACAATAACTATCAAATTTACAACCAAATGGAGAACACACAAAAAAGGATTATACAAATTTCACACTCTGAATGGACACGTATAAGAAACTAGTCACACTATTCAGGTAGGGGGATTATAAAAATTAAACAAGGAACTAAAAGTATAAACGAAGAAGTTAAATGAACAGGCTGTCTTTCATTTTTAGACTGAGAACTCGAATTTCAGTTGCAGCAGCCTCCACCTTGAGAAGAAGAACCATCTCGGCCTCCTGATGGCCCTGGAATTCCACCATATCCTACTTTTATGCCATAAGACTTCAAACCAACAAGAACAGAATGTCAGAAACAGACTTCACACATTCTATCTATTGAATATGGCAAAGCAAAGGAAACAGAACAATTCTTCTTCTTTTTGTTAATATTCAAAGATAAGTGGCTATTTATTTAGTCTGCATCAAGTATTGCAGTGTCAAATATTTCCTAAAGAAAATGACTTTGCAACTGTACTTCCACATTGCATTCAAATTTCAAAACCTCCTGAAAGACAAATATAGATGATGGTATCACACAGTTGAAGGTGGATGGTAGTCTGGGCTCGAGGTCTAGGTAGATCAACCTTGTTCATCAGGGAATCGTGGACTGCTAAACAAATATTCAAGAATACCTAAATGTAAGGTAACTTTTCTTGCACCAGTAGAAAACAATATTACCTTGTCAGTCTGCATATTATGAACTCATCCGCCCAACCCACCCACACCCCAACTCACAGTTGTTAAGTATCAAACCGGCTTTGTAGGTATTTTTCTTCCAATTACAAGGCAGCAGTAAAGAGAATCACCCTTATCTTATCTAATGGCTGGTCTAAACCACCGGGACCCAATCAATATATATATATATATATATATATATATTCCATTTTATCTTATTAAATGATATTACCTTTTAAATCAATGACAATTGACAAAGTGGAAGCACACTCGTTTCATGCAAGAAACAGTGACCTCATTCTGTTTCAGGTGTTCTGAATTTTAAAAATCTACTAGAAGGATGACAAAGAAACTCTTATCAGAGTAACAATATATGTTTGAAAAGTTTCTTTTACACATGAAAACATATGATTAAGGGAGGCAGTGATGCAAATAAAACAAAATATTGGTTTTTGGATTTTTTTTTATAATTACATTGGCTAGTAGAGCTTAAATTTGGAAATTATCAGAAAATTCTCTAATAGGGAAAAGATAAACAAGCAATAAATTCACCCCTTCTGTATTTCAAACTACTCTAGATGTTCATAACCTGACCAAACTCTTTTTTGTGCTCAGTAGGCATAAATATCTATATCCTGACGTGATATATGTAACAACTAAATGTGATCAATTAGATTAGGAGTTAGAAACATAAACAGCAGTATATCCCCCCCTCCCAAAAAAAAAAGAAAGAAAAGAAGTTCGAGGAGATGTAAGAGTGGTTAGGAAGTGGTAACCTCATTTGAGACATCAAAAACTCCATCCTGAATCTTTTTGTATATGGTTGCAGCAGTTTTTATAAATGCCTGGATAAGAAGAGAGAAAGAGGTAGAATAGTGGGTATAGTAAGATTGTTAAGCATAAAATGAGAAAGAAGGAGTCGTTTTAGTATAAAAGACCTCCTCAACATTCTGAGCAGTTTTAGCAGAGGCCTCCATGAAGATCAAACCATGGTCCTTGGCAAATTGCTCGCCTTCCTCAGTGGTTACAGCCCTTCTATGAGCAAGGTCACACTTATTACCAATAAGCATAATGGTCATGTTAGCATTAGCATGCTGCCTAGCATCCTCCAACCAGCTAGCCAAGTGATTAAAAGTTTCCCTCCTGTGTGTTGTGTAGGGAGAAATGTTATTCTTTTTATTCTTTAACAATAAAATTAATAATAAAATTAGGCTGAAAACGGTGATGTGCAGAACAGATAGTAACAATGATTTGATAAAATGAAAAGTAAGGGGTGGGGATACCTGGTAATATCGTAGACAAGCAGGGCACCAGCAGCTCCTCTGTAGTACGACCTGGTAATGGATCTGAAGGATTCTTGACCTGCCTGCCCAAGGTTTCAATTTTGTTTTAGGAAAAGAAAAAAAATCAAATTATCCGATAATCAGGAAAAGACGGAAAAGAGTGAAAGGGAGAGAAGAGAAAGGAGAAAATACGGTGTCCCAGATTTGGAGCTTAATGGGTTTGTTGTCGATGGTGATCATCCTGGCCCCAAATTCAACACCGATGGTAAGATCATGCACCGGCTGAAACCGCTTGTCTGTGAACTGAAGAAGAAGGCATGATTTCCCCACTCCTTGGGGAGATGATGAGAATCAGATGGCGAATTCATCAATAAATGTATCAAAGCAAATAAGCAACGATAATAAAAGGAGAAAGAGGAGATCAATATGTACCAGTATCCCCGATGATGATGTACTTGAAGAGGTAAGCGTAAGACATCCTGTTGAAGAAGAAAAACTGCAATTTTGGATGATATGAATTCAATTTTAATTCAGCGATGCGAAAGCAAAGAGCTGCGACAGCCTAAGCCAGACAGCCTGCCAACCCATTCATGCTTACCCTTGCATATTTTTCTAATAATAATAAAATAAAATTTTATTTATTTATTTTAAATTTCTAATAATTAACTATTATTATTATTATTATTATTAAATTATTTTATTAATTAATTATTTTTAAAGTGAAATTAATTTATTATTAAATAATATATAATTAATTATTAAGCTATCAATTATATTTTATTAACATATTCTTAATTTACTATTATATTATTATACATTCACAACTATAAAATATAAAGTTTAAGAAGTCGCTAATAATATATAAAATAATTTTTTATATAAAAATATTATCATTTTATTTATATTTAAATTTTTTATTAAATAAATTCATATTAAGTTTATTTTTACAAAATCTTAACTTCATTTTTATTACATTCGATCCCTAACAACTTTAAATATAAAAAATTTATCAATAATTAACAATTAAGTTATAATTTATTTATTATTATGTTATCAATCATTTATTATTAAGTTATTAATGATTTATTACTAAATTATTAATAATTTACTATTTAATTTATGAATGATTTATCATTAAATTATGAATAATTTACAATTAAATTATTATTGATTTGTCACTAAATTATTGATGATTTATTATAAAATTATAACTTATTTATAACTAAATTATTAATAATTAATTAATTTACTACTAAATTATTACTAATTTATAACTTAATTATTAGTAATATACTACTATTCTATTAGTGATTTACTACTAAATTATCAATAATTTATTATTAAATTGTCAATAATTTTTTATTGTATTATTATGTATTAACTGTTACTTTATAATTGATCTACAACTAAAAATTTGATTATTTATGATAAAATTATCACCAATTTATTACTAAATTACTCATGATTCACTACTAAGTTAATATTGATTTATATTAAATTATCTATGATTTATTATTAAATTATCACCAATTAATAATTAAGTTATTGATAATTTACTATTAAAGTATACTAATTTACTTTTAAATTTTCAATTATTAACTATTAAATATCAATTATTAATTAATAAGTTATTATTTATGGTATAAAATTTTTTTATGATTTACTATTATCAATTAATTATTATTAAACTAAACTAATTTACTATTAAATTATTACTAATTTATTATTAAGTTATAATTATTTATTACTAAATTATCAATTATTTTTTATTAAATTATTCTTGATTTACTGTTATGTTATTATATATTTACAATTATATCATAATTGATTTACTGCTAAATTATTATATTATCATCATCATTGATTTACTTATTTATTTGCACAAACGACTGTTACTTTGTCGCAGTGGCAGTCTAAACAAACACAAATACGATGGCATATCAACACAAAGGTTCCATCATCATGCAAGCAAACATTCTTGGTTGTTTACAGACATGCTTCCCCCCCCCTCTTTCTCTTTCACCAATGAAATCATGCAAAAAAATTACTTAATAAACAAGCAAATTAACAACAAATGTTAGCAAGAGCAACCCATGTTTTTCAAGCTACAAAACTTCCTTCATCTACCCCCTAAACGGAAACAACACATGACATGACATAACTTCTTTGAAACACAACAATTAGTTCAGATCAACATCTAAACCATACATGCGAACCAATTAGTTCTCCAAGTTAACACTAAAAACAGCTATCACTGAGGCTTTGCTTACACCACTTCTAAACGTATATCGATCGGTCAGATTTGCAGCTTAATGTAATCGATTGTCCATCATCAAGAAGAAAACCAGCATAAATTTCAAACCTAATTGCTGTTTTGAATAATGTAATTTAGCAGCAGCACAAAAATATATAGAGCATCTCCATTGATGTTTCAGTTTAATCACCGCAACTCTTTTTATCTAATTGCAATATAATGATATTCTTTTATATATTTTTTGAAGAAATGATATTTTTCATATTTGAATGTATCAAAATTGTACATCTCAGCTCAGTGAGTTACTCTGTCCTTCAAACTTCATTCTCCCTAATAACTGCTTCCTTCAACGCATGAAAAACCTTGTCAAGTTACCAATATATGAATAGGAATTAATATATCAAACTAATAGTATAGACATATCCATGAAAAAAATCACAGCATTAAACCAATGAAATAATATGCTTCTAGACAAGACAAGGTGTGGGTTATAAAATACTACAATTCTACTAGTATTGCTATACACTATTGTTATATCATATTATATATTTATTTATAATATTAATAAATACGTTGCTATGTAAGTCAATGATTGTGATATATTTAATATTATAATTTATTTTTTTATAATATTATGTACCATTATCTTTTATTGTTAAAAAGTGTGAAAAATAAAATAAAAATAATCATTTTGGGATATTTAAAAAATGAAAAAAAGAGAATATAATATAATATAATAATAAATATACATATACACAATTAAGTTTTAATTTATTGTCTTTACAGCTGAAAAGAAGTCCCTTTCCTAATTAAGCTACCACAAATGGGGCATTACAGCACTGCAATTTATGAACGCAAAACCGTACAGAGAACACAATAGCAAAGAGAAATCAATTCAGGCATATACATATATATAGAGAGAGTGGGTCTTGACCCTCTGTTTGCATTAATTAATTCAATTCAACTATCTCTCTCGGCCTTTATCGCCTTCAAGCCATTGTTGATGTTCAGATCTACTACTTCTCCTTCTTACTATCTTCTTAGGATCCACCACCTTGCTTGCAGAATTCGCTTCACCTCTCCTTTCTTTGCCCTTTTCGGATTCTGCTTCCCCTTTTTCTCCCCTCACCACGTTTCCCTCCAATCTATTCTGACGCTCTCTTTTGCTACTTTCAGGAACCCTGCTCCTTCTCGCCTCCTGTTGCAGCTTATAATTACTCTCTTCTTCCGCAGCTTGTGTCTGTCTTCCTCTAACGATTACCTCCGGTTTATGACTTGTTGCCCTGGAACCACTCTCTTGTTCGAAAAACAGGACTTGCACCACTGTTCTCAATGGTAGCCTCTCGTTCTTCACAGCATGGGCACGTATCTCTGGGGACAGTTTCTGGCAGTCTAGCATTCTGCACAGCCTTTTCTTGTCTGCTTTACTTACATCAGGGTGCTCCTGCTTAAATCAATCCGGACCATGTTGGAAAAAAAACAAATGCAATTGCTTGGGTGGATTTACCATGCAACTTTTTGGTGCATGCTTATACCAGTATATGTTTTTTGGGCAATCCACAACCCAATAATCCAGAAACTCCACTTCATTGAATGAATGAATAAATAAATAAAACTAAAAGCATGCATAAACATTAACCAATCAACATTCCTAAATGCTTTAAGCACAAGCAGTCAATGACTAAACAAATTAGAATTCACATCAAGCATATATATCAGTATATCATTCTCCATAAAATACAAAAATGAAAATCTGGCACTTGATTAGTAAATTGGCCTCACCTTGAGATAAATGTTAATGGCTTTATAAAGGCCATCGTGATCTTTCCTGGCAATATCTGGCAATGCTTCAGCTAGAGAAACTAGTTTGGATATTGGCATGTTCACATCCCTTGCAACAACTTGAAGATAGGAATCTATAAGCTTCCCAGTATTTCTAATTGATCGAAGCAAGTGGCTGTTTTCTGCAGATGCAGGAGCTTGTCTTCTCCATAGCACCAAATAACTTTCTATTACAGCTGCAACCATGTCAATATCATAAAAGTGCTGATCGGAGGACAACTGTGAAGGAAATAGCATATCACCAACTGTTGCCTCCTCAAATTGCAGACCAGCTCTCCTTACCAGTTCAGTCTTTGTTACTGGGGACACTCCTAGATAATTTGCAATGCTAAGGAGCCTTAACAAGAAGCCTATTGAAACAGAGTCTCGATCAGCAGGAATCATGCTCACAATAAATTCAAGAATTCGCCTGCTTTTTTCCTTAGATTCTTCAGTCCGAGACGCTGAACTCTGTGGGGGTCTAGACTTTGTAGTGTCTGGTAGCCAACGACACGCATAAACATGCAAAGCTTCACCAATGAGCTGTGGTGGTAGTCTATAGGTTGATCTTACAGCAGTAATTATGCATCGAAATAGGTCTATGTCAAGATCGGATAAGTCTTCCGTCCACCAATCTTTTGGGACCGACTGGTGTTGTTTTTTTATATACCCTGGTCTAGTATAAGTGTAGGACCATGAAACCTGCAGGGAATCATCTTGATTAAACTAATGTATACCTTGAACGGCAGACGATTTTCAAAAATAATGTTTTTGATATGCTTTATGCGGTAAATATATATATATATATATATATATATAAAATATAGAAGTAGAAAAATAGATTTAAAACCTTTGCTGGGGGTGTGAGGATTTTCTCTACAATAGAATCAATGCACCTTCTAATGATTCCAAGGTTTTCTGACCACTCAGGTAACTTAATTGTAGTCTGTAATGTGACAATCGAGTCCTTCCAACCTTCAAGAATGCATGAATTGAAGAAAGCTTCTAGTTTTAGGACAAAATTTCCCTTCTCAATTGATTCAGTCATTCTAAGGAACTTAGCAGCACACAATGCAGGTACAAAGTTATGGGCGCTGAGATTGATTGTTATCCCATAGCAAAATTTAGCACAGAGTTCAAAAGCATCTTCACCTCCCGGGATATCGTGAAGATCTATAGTTACAATGTCAGATTCATCAGAATCAGAGCAGAGCCGTTGTAGGAGGCCACATTTTGGAAGAAGTGGAATCTGCAACTAAGAATAGCACAATTATTTAAGAGGCTAAGTTATATACCAATCCTGAAAAAATAACATTTATAATCTATATATACTCAAAATATCTAGACTTTTCTCGAAGGAACAATTTTCCTTTTTCACAATCAAATTCCTACCCAATTTCAGGTACCATTATTTTGCTAACGTTTTCGGTTCTAACTTCTAAGTGTGTCCAAAACCAAGGGCCTATCCACCTCGACTCCGTCATGTTTTCCTGTCAAAGTAAGCTCACATCTTACTAATTTCTCTGGATTGTATTTATAATACTCAAGTGTACGAAGTGTCTTATTCTTAGGCAAAAAAGCAAAGTATTGTAAGGGAAATCATTTGTTGCTAAGCTGCTTTCTTGACAGATATGATATGTTGGACTTTACATCATCTCTAAAATGCTGAATCTAGAAGTCTAAATATATATGATACATATGCTAGTAATCATTCCAATAAGGCAAGGGTACATAATATATATATATATATTATTTATTTATTTATATGATCAAGGAAGAATCCTCAGCCGCAGGACCATTTTTCATCCCACGACCTGAGGCAAACTTTTTCTTTATATCATGAACCCAATAAACTATACCTTATGTAGAAGATAACAGATGTTGTTAATCCTTATTGTAAGATCACTTGGTACTTCTGAAATCACAGTCCTGCGTTGCCAATTACCAACTCTATTAGATTTAGCTTAAGATTGTTGCCAGTTCTGTCAAAGAAGGATCTGTCACACTTCTTATACCTGGTAGCCTCTTCAGTGTAGAAGGTGTCTGGCTTTGTCCCAATTTTCATAAACTTCATTTTTTCTTCCTTTAATCAAAAGGTCGTGAATGATTGGTTTTTCCCCTTGCAACACTGCAACGTTTGATTGAAAGACAGTTTCTGAAAGATTCCAGATCGCTTACGTGATATTAGTAAATACATTTCCATAATGGTTTCTGTTGAAGATAAAATGTATTAACGCTATAATACCATGAAATGAAGTTGCCGAAAATTATATGCATACCAACAGACAGGAAAACCCACAGGCACAAACATGTGCATACTCTGACAAGGACACTCGAAGGCGAGACAGCCACTCAATTGATTACTGGTACGTTGACATAACCCTTTGTTTCTTTTCAGCATATTGGTTTTTGGTAATGGGCAGATATATACTGAAAGAGACGCAAAAGAAACTAAAGCATCGGCTTAACTGGTCTCCGGTAGTAAGAGTTTTTTTTACTTTTCAATACTAAAATTGAGTGCCCAGAAATATAATTAGAATACTTATAACACATGGGGTAGGTGCACAATTTGTTGTTTTTATTTTCTTCTAATATTTGCAAGGTTGAATGAATAAAGGTTGTTTAACGAACATGGCAAAAGAAAATGAAAAGTAAAATGTTATGGAGAAGAAGATATGAGGAAAGAAGAGGAGAGGCCAAGGGAGTAGAAGGAGAAAAGGAGAAGTCGACCATGAAGGAGTGATACTCAATCCTACATGCATACTAGATCTTCAATAATATGTAAAAGTGCTACATATATATATATATATATATATATATATATGCAATTTATTGTTTACAAAAGTTTAGGAAGTAGGCACAAATACAATTACCTCAACTTTTATTCAACAAGAGGTCCCATCATCTTCACCGTTCCTGTATAAAACCTACAAGCCCTTTAGCATGTAATGATATATCTTCACCTGCAAAATCAAAAGATAAATCACCTAACCCTTTTTGCTTTCATGATGGCGTGGAAGCCAGAAAGGTCTTGATTAAACCTCTTCTGAAAATCCTGAATATGTAATGCCTTTCAACCTTTGGCACTTTCAGTGAAGTTAATTTAGTTTCTTCAGCCATTCAATTGCAAGTGGGCAGTCTCAAGTCTCACCTGCTTATAAAAGGCTTAAGTTTTTGAGCTTGTTATGCCAATTTCCTGACACATTTAACTACAAGAAATTGAACCGTGAATCTGGTTCCAAACTAATGAATGAAATTTTGCCTAGATCTAATCCACTATATATACAATTGCCCTCCCATTTGTGTTCCCATTTATTTGGTTCTTATACAATGGAACCTCTAAGGTACAATGTCCAAGCAGCAATATACAGGTCCGCTCTGTGAATTCATTCCTATAAGTCACACAAATTCAGTAGATCCTAGCCAAAGCAACAGTAGTACCGTTGAGTTGAAACAAATAAGACCAGTAGATCACCCATCTTGAATTGATATAAAGCTATTTCCATATACTATAATTTTGAAAATTGAAAGCCTATGTATTCTTCGATCCATTAATTAATTACTCATAATCGATAAGGCCTGATGATCCTTCCATTTTGGCTCTATCGCTACTAATTCATAAATGAATTTGTAACTAAGTTCCACGCTTCTCCTTTTCAAACGATCAGTTTTCCGTTCTGGGAAGCATGGACAGCAAATATATAATAATATCATGATTCTTCATCCATGTACGCAGAAAATATTGATTAGACTTGAAAGAAAATATGTCGGACATAAGTTTTTTTTAGCAGTCTTACAGTTATGTGCTTGAGCCGATGTTCAGTAAAACTAATACTACTGTATGGCCTACTTTCCTGGCACACGAAACAGGTTATGCTTAGGTTTAACCTCGAAAACAACAAATTAAGGTCATTTTCTATCTATAAACAAAGATCTTATTAGTTTTATTACTATATATATGTGCCTTTTTGTAAATTTGGAACTAGTAATATCCTATATGTATAGCACAGGCTTTAAACCATTATATTTTTTTGGCCTGATCTTTAAACCATAATTGAGTGTACCATGAATGTTTCTGAATATATATACATACATACATACATACATATATCTATATACACACATGTGAGATAACTTTTTGGAGTTTGGTGACGGCATGAATTGATGCTAAACGCTACTTAATTTCCTAATCTAATTATCTCAGTTAACTAATCCCAGACTTCAAAAACAAAAATCATGCATCATCCACACAAATGATTCTTAATTCTGTCTATGCAGGTGGCTTGGCATATTTGCCAAACTCTTTGATCAGCAAGCAAGACGAGGTGAAATAAATGTACAAAGCATATATAGAATTAATATCTAAAAGTAATAACTCGCTACGAGAAATTAAGTAGGGATAGAATAGCAAGCTTTGCGGACAGGATAGAAGTATAGCAAGCCAGCTCACTCACATTAGTTTGGATGGATCATCGAAGGACATATTATTATGTACTTCAACTCGACTTTCATCCCGCTTTAGCACAGATGATATTTTTCTGTGAAGTAAATATGTGTGGACTACCATGTAATAATATCTGATCAGTGATAGTAAGGCACAAAAAAATAAATAAATAATAATGAATAAAACTGGTTTTCCTGTCGTTGTTCTTGGAGTTGAAGGGATGAAATGATCTGTTCAGTTAGAATATATATATATATATATATATTAAGAGACTAGATGGAAATTAATTAATCTTGAACTTATTTTTCTTAATCAAGGTTGATATATATATTAGGAGTATTGAGTTACTGTAATTGTCAACTTAATTTCAGATAATCCTTCAGGATGACCAACTAATTAATAATAAAAGGGAAATTAGTGGCTTATGACTAATTTTCTGCTCTCTTTAAACTTTGAAAAAGATATAAAATAAGTGGCTGAGGTTTGCTTTCATAGTTGTCATGAGTGCCTTTAGACACGAATAGCCCGCACAAAATGAATATCCGGCTACATTGCAGTATTACTATTATGAATTAATAAAACGATTACTATGATCTCTTCTCTACCCCATGGACATTAAGGGTGGAATTTGTATACTAAAATTAGTATTAATAATTGTTTATGTTGATCCATCGTAGACGAAGAGAATATATATATATATATATATATATATATATATATAGGAAAATGATCCAAGTACTTGGAGTTGTGCTAATATAGGAAAATGACCACAACTTTTTAAAAGGTAAGCTTACCCTAGGAACATGAAAAATCGATCGATAACGGTGATGCATGCTCATGTCAGCCTTGCTCAAATGGCTTTCAAAGTATGATCAAATATATACATATATATATATATATATGATGCCATTTAGTGCAGTAGTTACCTACAAATGTCTGCAGACTCTTTTAATTAGAACTGATAAAGATCTTCTCAATAAGCTCAGAAAAGTTTTTACTGGTTTCTTGTTGTCCTTTTTCTATTCGGAATTTTTTAATTAAAAAAGGCTGCAGTGAAGTTTCTTTTTCCACGTTAAGTTTTCAATCTTGTTGCAAAGCAAAATATATGATAATCTATATATCTGCATATAAATATATATATATATATATATATATATATATATAACAGAATGAAAAAGCAGGCAGAGCTTTTGGTTGGGGTTTAGAGTGGGAAACCAATTATTAATAACAAGTTAAGGAGATTTCTGTCAATCAAATCATCCCAATTGGGCCAGTTAACAACAGAACCTGCACTATCATCAGTGGGAGTGGGACTCAACTCATGTAAATATAGATATAAGGAAAAACAATTGAAAATAAAAATAAATTATTAGTATAATTAATACGTTCATAGATAGGAAGCAAAAACAACATACCCCCGATAATGTGCTTGTTGAAGTTTTAACTTGGTTCCAAGCATAGCAGCAGCTCTTGCGAGCTTAGAATGCCAAAAGCCGCAACAATACTAAGATTTACCCTTGAGATTCCAACTGAGTAAGCAGAAGAGAAAGAAGCAGTAGCAGCAGCACTTTCTATATATATATATATAAAGCCAGCAGTAGAGGCTGCTAAACAAACTAGAAGCTAACATATTTACATCATCCGATATGAACATGCGATGCCATATAATTGCAGTGCTGCATATATATAATATGATGAAGAGGCACGAAAGGGATGTCTTAATTGCTTCATGAATTTAAAATGTAGTCCAGGAGGAAGAAAGGATGGCTTATGGGTTTCAGTTAGATTCAACTTATAAAGAAACACACGACACCAACTAGTTAAAGGAGAATGGGTGTCTGTCTCACCAATTAGACAGAGAGAGGGAGGAATAGGATGAGAAAGTGGTTGGTTGGGATTAGTCAACATGGTAATGTATCAAAGCCAAAGGTATGCTAGCTAGCAATCATAAGCTGCTTTGAAAAGAATCCGAAAAGAAAAAAAGTAAAATTAACGAGCAGTCTCTTCTTCTGATACATCTTCTCGGATCATCTCTTTTTCGTTTCAGCTGTTGGGGGGATGTCAATTGTGAGTTGGGAGTGCTGCCTCCCCTAGCTTGAAATTGTTGCTCCATGATTGAATTCGCGAAAAAGGCATGCAACGCTAGTGGGCAGTGGGTTAAGACTAATTAAAGAGGTGTCCCCCACCACCACCCCAACTAAAATAAAAAGGATAGACGGTGGGACCATCTTGGAAAGATCCCCTGTACATTGCTCATCATGGTATCCCCCACCATGCAGAGATATTCATCTCCTTCTCATTAGCCGTTTCCCTGATTTGCATGTCGGCCACGTGTCTTGCCCTCGACCGTCGGTTCTACTGCTCCTAAATCAGTCTGACCTTGCCTGTTGGTTGTTTTGCAGGCCAAACGCAGACAAGGAGTTGAAATTTCACCCAGTCACTTGATTTTTCAGGCTGATGTTTTCCCATATATTTAAATGTGTGTATTATAGTCTACTAGTGTTCCAAGGAAAGGATTTTTTCTTTTATTGAATATAATTAATAAATATAATGTAATGTATGTAAGTGCGTGCGCATGAGTTTATGTTCATATTTTTAGTTCATTTTTTGTATGTCTTTGCACATGCATATATATAACTACACTTTTGGCTGATCTAATGTTGAAGTTCATGCCATGGGTTAGTAATGGTATAACGTACGTGGATTAGATGAAGAGAGGGTCCGCCACTCTGGCCCTTTCAATCCATTGGTTGAAATAGATGTGTTAATTAAATTGTTGATTGTTTGACAAATTAAGTAATAAGTTTGTTTGTTTTTTTTTTTTTTTAATTTTTTATCTTAACAAAAGCTAGCATTTTTTTAGCACAAATAGTAGTATAAAGTTAGTAACAAACTAAAATTCATTATAAGCCATGTTACCTCTTAATTTTCTCATGTAAATAAATGGTGTAATGAATAATTAGGGCCAGAAGATTTGGATATATCCATCATGATCGCAATAACATGATTATCATCAATCATTGTAATTAGTATTGGTATATATATGCTAATATATATTAGTAATTAATTATCACTTGCTTTTAGTAATTAATTGGGTTTAGTTATGATTGTTAACTACTACTAGCTACTTTAGTATATATGAATATCCCAAACAGAAATCACTCTTGGAGAAATTAAGGCAAACTAAACTAAACTATGTATGCCTTAATTTATATATATATGTTAAAATAAAGTATGCATATTTCATGAGCAATTGATATGTTAACCACATTATCCATTTTCTAATTATTTAGTCTTGCATTGCATCTATTATGTACTCTATTAACTATTAGAAAAATGTCTGATGATATATATATATATATATATATTTTTTTTGATTTGAAATATTGTTACTGTGAAAACAATGGAGCATGTCATATACACTTGTTTCCATGGGAACAAGGACAATATTGCGAGGGACCGTGGTATCTTTTTGTTATCATGTTGGATGACAGTGTTGGTCCTATTGGACACCTATGTTCTCATTTCGTGTAAAAAGGTTGAAATGTTGTTTTTCGCTTTTCTTTTTTTCCTTATTTTAATTTCATCTTCAGGTAAACAAACCTTCCAGTCTTTCACCAAAACAATATATCCGGAAACATACATACACATACAAAATATATATGCATCATTCTTTAATATATATATATATATATATATGACATATTCATGCATGCGTTGCAAATAAATACTATGACAATAAGTGGAGATGAAGCATTGGTATATATTGTTGGAATATTCAAACACAAAATAAATCCCCAAGGATAATATTTAACATGATTATACCCCAGTTGCTCTCTAATATTTAAATCCATGTAAAAGTTTTAGAATATGCATACCATCCTCAGTTGGCTGGCTGGCCCCAACATCTCCTCTTAACACGATACATATCCTGTTTCCTTTTTGTTTACGTGGACTCAGCAATAAACTTTTTTTTGCTAAATTACTTTTTTTCAAGGATTCCTTAACAAGAAAACAAATGTTAGTTGAGATTGGGGAATCAGTATCATTGCATTATTGCAAGAACCACCCCCACCGGGCTTTGTTGGGCCCAATCTGAACCCTAAGCTACCCGCCCACTGCACACTCCTGGATAATTGTTTGGTTCTACATTTGTTCTATTCTAATGATAAAAGAGCACCACTTGAATTAAAAGTAACATTTGCCATAAATTACTACATCATTAGACTTTTAACTTACAAGTGACAACCGTGTAAGAGCAAAATGAGGAAATGTATCATAGCAATACCTACATCAAACAGAGAAACGGGCAGGCGTTAGAGAATTCATACTCTAGAAAGCCGAAGACAAAGACCAAAAGATCCTCTGTGTTCACCAAACGCACCAAAATATGACTCGGGCCATAAAAAAAAGTTAAAAGAGAAAGAGCAAAAGCAAAAATGTAGGACGATCGGCGTGCTTAAATGGCTTCTATCTTGAGCCAAACACCACAAGACATTATTCTTCGAGAACGACAGCAAACATTTCAGCATTAATAGATATACCACTGTCAAATCCACCAAAGAGAAAAATCAAGAACGCATAAAATGATAACCCCCTAATTGCAAGTAAAAGAACAATAGATAAAAAGGAAAAAAAAAACAACAATTGAATTACCATATACCAGGATTAAAGTGTTGCTAGAACTAATTGTCTTTCCATTTTCTTCCAAGGATAACATGGGCTTTTAAATCCCCAATCACAGGTTGACAGTCCATTATACAAAGAAACTTTAGTCAATAAATTACAACAAAATTTCTCCAACTTCGGAGTCAATAATATCTTGCTATGTCCAGAGAGAACTTATTTTCTGTCATTTTGTCAAACCCAAAGTGAGACAATGATGCGAGTTGCAATACATTTCAGCTTCATTCAATCAGTCACCAAACAAATCATCTTCACTATCATCATAAGGGCCAGAGTTACTTCCAGGTTTTCCGCTTGAGACATCAACAGCCTTTCCTATAGTAGCATCTTTTGTATGAGAAGCCAAGCCTTGTCCAACAGCAGAACCAACAGAGGCGTATGCCCAGGAAGAACCCACTTTGTCAGATAAAGATTCTCCGTAAAGATCATCGTAAATCCCACCTTTTGGAGCATTCTTTACTTTGTTCAAGACCTCTTGCAGTTTTTCAGTTACACCTTTCTGATAAACATTGTCTTCCTTTACAGATGATAAATCCTTGCCTTTAGGAATTACTGTCGTCTGTACAAGAGATTCATATTTTCCAACAAGACTTCCTTCTTTCACACCTACAGGCCCAGGTTCTGTTTCTACATCTGCACCATCTGAAATTCCAACAACTTCAACCAGCTCTCCCCCAGCCTGATCCCTGAAGGTCACTTTTAGTTTCCTCGTTCTCTTAGTGGCTCTCTCTGTCTCTGTGCTGTCTTCTCTTCCAGCTGATGAGATGGATTTGGGTAGCAGGTCAGATTTACTCAAGCCATAACGATTTATAAGTGTATTATAAGCTACAACAGCATCTTCATCAGAAGGATCAGGCGGTGGAGGTAGATTTATCTCAGTTGGGGGTGGAGGACGAGGAAATAGAGCTGCATTATCCTTCCTTAAGATATAAGTTCTAGTTGATGCAGCAAAACGCAAAGATTGCCCTACTTCAAGCTCAACAGGTGTATCTTTCGTCAATCGCTCATTTGCAACAAATGTTCCATGTGCTGATCCCAAATCAATGACATATATACTGTTGAGATTATAACAGCAGGTGAATAACACTTTACATATTGTTTGAAAATAAGTTGGGAGCTTCAGAAATCAATAGTACATGCAAGAGTGAAGTTGAACATTTGATTTATTAAGATATAGAAGTAGACAATGGTGTCTAGCAATGACTACAAATCCAAAGGACTAACTTGTACAGAATTAACTTCAATTTTAAACGTCAACTAGTAAACTCAGTAAAGTAGTAGAATCAAGAAGAAGTCTTTAAAATCCAACGGAATACTAATTGTTTTTATTTCCTCACTCTCTTCTTCTGCTACTAATAGAGTGGTACTGAGAAGAGAAAATAATAGCGATGTTTGAATATAAGTAAACAAAGGGCAAAAGAAAAAAGAAGCAATAGAAATAGAAGTGACCTGCCATTCTTGTGGGGAATGACAGCAGCATGCTGTCGTGAAACAGACTGATGATCAAGCACAAAATCGCAAGTATGATATTGCCTGCCAAAGATGTGCCTGCTTCTATCGAGATTAATGCGATCAAGCACCTGTCCTTCCTTCAGAACTTCAAGATAGTAGACACCAGGGCGAGGCTCAATGGCCCAATCAGGAGGCTGCCAGGTGGATTGACCGCCCCCAAGCTGAGTGGCTGGCTGAGACTGAGCGTGCTCCTCCTGCTGAGGCTGAGCAACTGCATTTTGAGAATGTGAAACTTGTTGAACTTGAGCAGCTTTGGGCGTGGTTTTGGGGGCAGAATTTAGCGAGACAGAGAAAGGTTCCAAGTATTGAGCTTTTTTGAATCTATCAAGACCACCTCTCCCATACATTCTTTTTTTATTAATGATATTACTCAAAAGAAAAAAAAAGACCAAAGCCTGTTTATTTAATAGTTAACTACTAATATTCTTATATCACCACCCAGCAGCAGCATAATTCGGGACTTCAATTTTTAGCGGTAATCTTCCAGCTCATCCATGCACCGCAACTGCAATCATTGAATCAAAAACCCTATAAACATTGGAGTAATGTAATAGTACCACAGAACATATCGGGACACGAAAATTTCAGTTTAAAATATATACATATTTGGATAGCAAAAATAACCAAAGCCAGATAAACTTGGGTTAGGGACCGAGATGGGTGGAATAAGAATTTGTAAAATGGAGTTTAGATTTTCCAGAAAATGGATAGGAATCTTAAAATAATCAGATTAATATGCTACAGCTGCTAAGTTAGTGTAAGTTGAAAAAGTTGGCCCAGAAAGTCTTCCAAAAGAATTGATTGAATCTACTACATAAAAGAATGAAGAAAAGATGTGGATTGAAGATGACTGACCTTGGTTAGTGGTTAGGGTTTATACGAATTAGGGCAGAGGGCTGAGGGAGTGACGGAGAGAGGGCCTGAGAGAAATCCACCACATTCAATTCAACATTCTATCTCTGTATCTGTCACCATCATCAACCCAAAGCCAATTTCGTTTCCAAAGGCAAAAGCAACAGGCAACAACAACAAGCTTCGCACTCTCCACGCGCGCTATGCCAGGGATCGACTACTGGTGTGAGCTGTGCTGTCTCCTTTCTTCATTCTCTTTTTTCAAGTAATATATGGATCGGACAGAGGACCATAAGAGTTTGCAAGTTTTGGATCACTAACGCTAAAAGAGACCCTAAAACACGTTGGGCTTAAAATCATATAATCCCCTAAACTTTATGTATAAAAGAAAAGAAAAAATAAGTTGTAGGGCTGGGGACTGAGGCTGAGCCCATTTCGTATCACCCAATTTGCCAATGCAATGTCGGCCTATCAATTTCATCTCGCTTGTAGCTTAATCTGACTCTTTGTTTAAAATGCTGTTAGTGTTGGCCTAAAACAAAGATATGATACGAGTATAAATAAATACATGGTACACAATTCCTATTTTGTTTTCCTTTTCATGTGCATCATAATAACTACTCCTATGTGTATTTGAGATTTAATACTTTTCCCTTTTTAAAAAGAAAAAAAAATTATTTTTAAAAGGAATGGCTTATATCACTTATTGAGCACCTCTTATTTATATCACACTCTGAACAGGCATACTAGGAGTTGAGATCCTAGTACCAACGATCCAAGCTTGAGTACCAGGGACAAAAGTGAGAGTTTGCACAATAAGCATGGTAGAAGCATTCATGCCACCCACACACCAGTCAAGTTTACTCATATGACCAGGGCTATGCTCGTATCATGTTTGCATTGCACTTAGGTGGATTCAAGAGAGTGAAACCGATCCAAAACCATCTAGGAGCATCCAGGATCGGCAACACATAACTGAAAGATCTGGTCAACCCTGATAATTATGAAAAGATCCTTAAAATTATGATGTAATATGTATTTTAATGTGTAATCCCTTGATTTTAAGAGTAGTCATACGGTGCTGGGGCTATAAATAGAGAGTCACCCTCCCTTAGTTGTAACATCACATACTTCAATAATATACAGAGCATATTCTAACATCTCTTGTGTTTTTTTAGCTTGAGTATTCTACCTTTATTGTTGGCATAGCGCCCGTATACTTATGTAGTAGGCTGAACTTAGGCATACAGAGTCAATTCACAGTCTAAGGCTGCATGGATTTAAGCTTAAGTCTGGAGCTTGTGATAGTTGGTATCAAAGTAGGTTCTGCTTGGTTATGTGCAAGTCACATTCAAAGCATTTGCAAAAATGGCATCCCAGAATGATGTTGCTAACCGACAACCAGATACCCAAAAGCAAGGTTACGGAAGAAGGAAAAAAGCTAGTTTAAAGGACATTTGGTCTACTATAGATGGAAAGTTGACCAAGGTGGAGGTGACAGTGGGCAATGTGAAAGAGAAGCTTAACGAAGTAGAGGTTTATTTTAAGGATTTAGACTCCAGGGCAAAGGAGCTTAAAGTTGAGATGCAGGCTGCTATGAATGAGACCATCGACATGTTCACCTAGGGGAATGAAGCCTTGAAGGCCCTGGTGGAGACTCTGCACAAAAAGATGGAAGAGCTCAATGGGGAGCTCACTGCTTGTAAAATAGCCATTGGGAATAGTGTGATCGTTGAAATGCCTAAGTCTCGTATGGATATCTCCTAGCCCAAAGAGTTCAAGGGGATTAAGGCTGTCAAAAAAGTGGATAACTTTCTATGAGGGGATAAAGTAGTACTTTTAGGCCACAGACATGCTGGACGATGCCACTAAGGTAAACACTGCTTCAATGTATCTTACTAATATTATCTTGTTATGGTGGATGCGCAGGTGTGATTATGTCAGATGCGGTGGTACTTTGATTAGAACCTGTTAGGAGTTTCAAAAAGAATTTAAGGAGCAATACTCCAATGATGAAGTGTAGGCAAAGTTATACCGACTTACTTATAGAGGGGGTGGTGAGAAAGTACGTCTAGAAGTTCTCTAAATTGATGCTTTAGATTTTAGATTTAAGCTAAACTAAAGTTTTATTTGCCTTTATGGATGGGCTCAAGCCGTGGGTAAAGCATGAGCTACAAAAAAGAGGAGTTTGTGATCTAACCAAGGCCATGACCTCCATTGAGTCCTTGGTGGAGTTTAGGCCATAGAGCAAGTTCGAGTCTTCCAAACCCAAGGGGAAGAGCGATGACAAGAGAGATCCGGAATAATAGTTCAAAAGAGAAAATCGTAATTGGCAGTCTAAATATGGAGATTGAGATTATTCGAACAAGGATGGCCAGGGAAAGCCACCAGCAGAGAACTGAAAGGCTAAGAGAGACTATGAGTCAATTTTTTGTTACCTATGTGGAAAATTGCATAGAGTACGAGATTGCCCTAAAAATGGCAAATTGGCTACCATAGATAAGAAGTTAGATGAAAAGCTAGAGAGGAAGACAATAAAGCTTGGGTTGATTATGCTTAATGCTATCCAAGGTAAGGGAAGCCGTAAGCCAAAAGAATTGATGTATGTGGATTTGTTGGCTGCGGGTAAGAAAGTGAATGCTCTAATGGATATAAGGCCTTTACATTTATTTATATAAGGTGATAGAGCCTAGAAACTCAGCCTAAAAGTGTACAAAGAGATTGGTACCATCAAAAAAGTTAACTCCAAAGAGGTTTCAGCCATTGGAGTGATGCATGGGTTAGAGCTATAGCTTGAAGATTGAAAGGGCAAGGAAACCATTGAGGTGATACCCTTGGATGATTATGAGTTTGTGATTGGTTTAGATTTTTTTGTTTGGATTAATGCCCTCATTATGCCTTTTGACAACTACATGTGCATTTTGGATGTACAGTGCTAATGCCTTGTACCATTGAAACGTGGGTCTGAGCTTAGGACCAAGATGCTATTGGCTATTTAATTTGCCAAAACGGTGAGTACGGATGAAAACACCTTTTTGGCTACCTTGAAGTATGATGAGCCTAATGAGATTAAGTCCAACACCCCTTTGAAAGTGTTAGAGGTGCTAGAGACCTTTAGTGATATAATGCTCGCACAGTTGCCTAGCAGAGAGAGGTGGACCATAAGATCGAATTGGTGCTTGAGGCCAAGCTACCAACCAAAGCCTCTTACCGAATGTTAGTCTCAAAGTTGGAGAAGTTGAGGAAATAGCTCAGGAAGCTGATCGATACTAGCTATATCAGGCCATCCAAGGCCTCATATAGTACCTCAGTTCTGTTCCAACGTAAGCATGATAGGTCATTACGATTGTGTATTGATTATAAGGTACTGAACAAGCTGACCATCAAGAACAAGTATTATATCCCCCTCATTACAGACTTGTTCGACTAACTTGAAAATGCAAGGTGGTTCACCAAGCTGAATTTGAGGTTAGGATATTACCAGGTTAGGATCGTGAAGGGAGATGAGTCTAAAACCATATGTGTCACCCACTACGGCTCTTATGAGTTCTTGGTCATGCCATTTAAACTCACCAATGCTTCGATAACATTCTGTACGCCTATGAACAAGGTGTTTTAGGTGTTACGGATGAACGAACTGTATGTGAAGAAGGAAAATTGCTCATTTACCCAATGAGAGGTACTATTTCTAGGCCACATAATGGGTGGTGACAAGATACCCATAGATGCTAGCAAGGTGCGTGCTATTCTAGATTGGGAACAACCAACCAAAGTCACCGAGTTGAGATCATTTTTTGGGCTGGTTAACTACTATCGATGCTTCATCAAGGGCCACTTAGCCATCATCACACCATTGATTGATTTGTTCAAGAATGGGAGAGTGTGGGAGTGAAGCACCGAGTTTTAGGAAACTTTTGATCGATTAAAGCGAACAGCAATCGAAGAGCCAGTTTTAGCCTTACTAAACCATGCCAAACTGTATAAAGTGTATATGGATGCATCAAACTTTGTGGTAGAAAGCGTACTAATGTAAGAGAACCATCTGATTGCATTTGAGAATTGAAGCTTAATGAAATCGAATACAGATACATGGTTCAAGAAAAGGAGATGACAATAATGGTGCATTGCCTGTACGCTTAGCAGTATTACTTGTTAAGGTTAAGATTTATGGTTAGAACCAACAATGTTGCAACCAACTACTGCTAGACACAGAAGAAGCTATCCCTCAAACAGGTTCGTTGGTAAAATTTTCTTGTGGAATTTGATTACAGGTTGGAATACAAGCTTGAGTGGGTAAACACAGTGGCTAATGTCCTTAATAGAAAGGGAAGCCTTGCTACCATCAGCCAACTGGAGAGGTCCTTGGTGCCACGTATTAGAAAAGGGCTACCCTACGATCTTATAGTACAAACTTTCATCGATCATGCCATGCAAGGTAAAACTAGATGTTTCTGGCTATAGGATGGTTTATTGTACACCGGAGGTAGTAGGTTGTTTATGTCGTAACATGAAAAGCTTTCCATAGAGGTGATGTAAGAGTGCCATAATTCAAAATGGGCTAGTCACCCAGGCATGTATTGCACCTTAGCTTTGCTAGAGGATTGTTACTATTGACCATACATAAAGGATGATGTTGAGGCCTATGTGAAGATTTGTCTTGTGTGCCAACAGGATAAGGTAGAGCTCAAGCCACCAGATGATTTTTTGAAGCTTTTGCCCATACCAGAGTGACCATAGAAGAATGTCACTCTAGACTTCATAGTCAATTTACTCAAGGCAGAAGGGTTTGGGAGCATTATGGTAATGGTGGACAGGTTTTCCAAGTATGAAATTTTCATTCCAACAACCAAAGAGTGCCCAATCGAAGAGGCAGCCCGTTTGGTCCTGAAAAACGTGGTGAGTACTAAAAAGTACCACAGACCATTATTAGTAATTGGAACAAACAATTCACAGGGCAATTTTAGATGGAGTTGTTCAAGCTATTAGAGTTAGACTTAAACTTTTTTAGCAGCATGCATCTTTAGATCGACAGACAGATTGAACGAGTGAATGGATTGTTGGAGGTCTGCCTCAGGCATTATGTGAGTGCCACACAATGAAACTAGCCGAAGCTGTTTGATGTTGCCCAGTTCTTATACAACCTGCAGCGGAGTGAAGCAACGAACCAAAGCCTTTTTGAGATTGTGATAAGACAGTAGTTACTAACACTCGGTTCGATTGTCGCAAGTTATACAAGGCCTAACCCAGCAGCCTATAAGTTTGCCAAAACTTGGTAAGAACAAGTTGACTTGGCCAGAGTCTGTTTATACAAAGCCACAAAGAGGTCTAAGAAATGAGC